TTGTGCGCCGCGATCTACAAGATGAACTAAAAAAGTCCAAACTACACCTAATACAGTTTTTCCAATAATTGGCTTATTTTGCGTACTTTTAGATTAAAAATAAGTTAATATATGGAATCAGCATTGCTTTTTTAGTATATAAACAATCTTTCATCATGAAATTCTGCTTTTTCGTCATCAAGTTTCATTATTTCTCTACCATGAATTTTCTTTGTTTTTTTCGTGAATATCTTACGAACGGTACCTCGGATCAAAAAATGATTTAGATTTTCAAAAGCAGCATAAAAAAATACATCAGAAAAATTTATAAAAAATTGATTTGAGTTCAGGCAATTTTCCCTATTGAATTTGACATCCTCCTTAGCAGGGGTTCAATTGGATTTAATGAGATAGCTAAGAATCGAATGCTTTCTCTAATTTCAGCCCAAAATTCGTTGAAATTCTCTGAATAGATTTGATCAAATTAAATAAAATGTTATTCATTTCTCAGTATTAACTAACCTTGACTTTGAATTATTTACATTGACATCAATGACTGATTGTTTAAGTCAGTTTGAAAGATTGATAATCAATAACCAATTTGTTGAATCAATCATTGAAGTATCACCGAATCAATAATTTGGTTAAAATTATTTCAATTTACTCAACATTGATTGATTACATCTTCACTTATGGACGGAATAACAGTAAACATCAAGTTTGTCACCAACAGTAACAATGAGATGAACAAAATTAAAAAGATGACTCGACTTGACCAGAAGAAATAGTTGAAATTGTCATTAACAATGGTCGATATTGAATCAAATCGTCAAAATGGCCAACATGAACCCATCAGTATATTTGGCCGTGCCTTTATACGTGAAAATGTAACAAGCCAAGTAATATTTTGGATAACCTCTTTGGGCATAACAGCCAAAGGTCTGTATAAATTATATCGAGTTTTTGACCCAACAATCCAACAAGATTCCCCACATAGTCGCGGTGTCGTCAAGTATGAACTAATTTACACTCAACTGCATTCAATCAGTTTTGGCCTAATCATATTGCACTTTAAATTTAACCGTTCAATGTACTTAAAATATTTGGACATTTACCAGACAATTGTTCGTAGCAACTTTGGTTTAGCTTCAAATGGATTTAAGAAAAGGTGCATCAAAATCAACCGATTTTTTCTAGTTTTTGCAACCATCTACGAAATGCTAACTACTTCGGTTAACCATTATCTATCCGATAGACCGACTGACTTTTCAATAGTCTTTTTCGTCGAGTTAATTTTAATGGCATTTGCTCTTTTTGGATACGTCTTCTCGATGCAATTCATTATTGAGTGCTGTACCTACTCACAATCAAGTTTCAAGCCTTTGAACAATTTACTTGATTCTTTATTGAACAAGTCATTGCCAAACAATATGAATAGCATTGCCAAATCACTTCGCTTGTATTACAGTAAGACAGTTGAATCTGTTCGTATTATGGACAAGTTTTTAGCTTTTGCCATTTTCGTCTTTTATTTGTACTTTACTGGTCATTGTATTCTTATTGTTGGTGAAATTTTGGATGCAAGTCGTTGTTCAATTTATTACACTTTATGGATGATCTTTAGGTTCTTTGGTGAATCGTCTTACCTTGTTTTAATAACGTATCATTTAGTCTGTGTAAATCAAAGTTCAACTCGTATTTTTGATAAAGTCTATCAACTTTCATTTAGCCTCGATTCATCCCATTCAATTGTCACGATGAATGAGGTAAACCTCTAACATTTTATTTAATGATTCAATGTTCACTGAAATATCATGTACTAATATAATAATTTTTGTTCTGTAGATCAATTTATTTCTATTGCGAACCAATCGGAATGATGTTGGATTTACATTTGCTGGCCTTTGCATGGTTTCACCCAGTTTCGTATCATCGCTGGCAACCATTTCATTGACTCTTGGCTTAGCATTGCCCAGTTTTATCAAGTAATCAAGCACCATATAATATTGTGGTGCTGTTAATAATACAGCGATCAATAAGAGCGTATGCCAGAAAAATGTGGAGAAACTCAGAAAAAGAGAAATTTGAGAGAAGCTAGAAATAAATTGATTATCAAAGAGCTTTCGAAGATTCTCACTGATCTCAACGTTTTTGGGAGGATCATGGATTTAACCACGGTACAGAAAATAAACGTGAAAAAGATTGTTGCTGCTAAGTACATGCATAAATAGAGGAAACACTTGATTAAACCATTTGCGAAATGAAAAAGTTGTTTTCAATAAATTTCAAAAGTTAAAACTTCGATGACTGTTTGTACAGTTATGAGACGAGATATTTCCAGCAAATTTATACCTCTGATGTAACTTTTCATGCCAAACCAGAAAATGGATTTACTTTGGAAAATAAAGTTTCATATTTTGTACAAACGGCTAACTTCGATTTTAGGTAAAGGCTCTCATTTCCAGCGATAAGAGTAGTTAGAAGGTTGAAACTTGTGCACCTTCAACCAAAAGGTCCCCCAAACCTAACCAACTGCAAAATCTTCTCAATTTATCACTGGTTCCTTCGATTTCGTGCAATAACATCGAAACTTTGAACCTCGATAACTCAACAAGTACAAAAGCTATCAACGCAATTCATTCATCAAACCACTCATATTGCAATTGGTATGCTATGATAAGAGCAAAAATTACCAGTTGCCCAAAGATGGCCCATGAAAAATGAGTTTCTAATGCAATAGTTTGCTTTTGTATTCAATTGAATGCTTAAAATGCTTCTTTGAGGTAAATTGCAACTCTTTTGATTCATTCTCGTTATGTGCTAAAAGTATTTGATTTTTCACGAAATTCTGATACAAATCTTTCTGATATTCATCAGTATTATATTATGCTACTTGGTATATGACATTTGAGTCCAAGAATCGTGTTCTCTGAGCTATAGTTTTCGAGAAAATTGCGTCTAAAGTTAAAGTTTCGATTGCTTATTGTGCAGTTATGAAAACAGATATTTCCATCAAATTGATATCCTTGATGTAATTGTTCATGCTTAACCAGCAAATGGATTTACTTTGAAAAATAAAGTTTCATTTTTTTGTACAATCGGATAACTTCGATTTAAAGTTAAAGCTCCCGTTTCGAGCGATGATAACAGTTAGAAGATTGAAACTTGTTTTTCGTAATTGAAAAGAGCTGGCCAACATCACCTACTAAAAATGTTTCTCGATTTATCACTGGCTCCTTCGATTTTGGACAATAAAATCGAAACTTTGAACCTCGATAACTCAACAAGTACAAAAGCTATCGACACAATTCTTGGACTCAAATGTCATATACCAAGTGGCATAATAGAATACTAATGAATCTCAGAAAGATTTGTATCAGAATTTCGTACACAATCAAATACTTTTAGCACATAACGAGAATGAATCAAAAGAGTTGCAATTTACCTCAAAGAAGCATTTTAAGCATTCAATTGACAACAAAAGCAAACTTTTGCATTAGAAACTCATGTTTCTTGAGCGATTTTGCGGAAATGGTGATTTTTTCTTTTGCTATCACATGAGCATTGCAATGTATGATATTTGGTGAAGGAATTATGTTAATAGCTCATGTATTTATTGAGTTATCGAGGTACAAAGTTTCGATGTTATTGTTTGATATCGAAGGAACCAGCGATGACTCTAAAAGATTTTTTAACTGGTGCGGTTGGCCAGCCCTTTCTGTTGAAGGTAGACAAGTTTCAACCTTCTAACTGGCACCATCGCTCGAAACGGGAGCTTCAACTTTAAATTGAAGTTATCCATTTGCACAAAAGAATGCAACTTTATTTTTCAAAGTAAATCCATTTTCTGGTTTGGCATCAACAATTACATCAACGACATCAATTTAATGGAGATGTCTGGTCCCATAACTGTACAAAATGCAATTGAATTTTCAACTTAAGAAGCAATTTTCTCGATAACTACTCCTCAGAGAAGGTTTTTGTTTACAGCAATCTAATCCATTTCCATGTCCCTGCAAACCAAGCAACCACTCAACTTTTTACACAAAAGTTAAAGCTTCTGAATTTCAATTTCTTACTCCTAATCAATCAGGATAAAACTATGAAGGTCTCAAGTCTTTTCAATAGTTTCAGAAAAGTAAAGATTGAGATTGGCGATGAATCATCTCTAGTTCAGTCATATGCAAATCGTGTATAGCGCAATCTGGCAATCATAGCACAAAAAATTTTCCAATTTCCAGAGCCCAGAAATCCACTAAAATTTCCTGAAATCCAAATTTTTTGCGCTAATTGCAGTTACCAGTGTGCACAATTTGGTGTCAATGTAACACAACAAAGATGTTATTAATTTCATTGAAATTAAAACGAACAATAAACAGTTTATTTTCAAAAGAAACAGTCTATTTTTAATGAATCAATAATTTGGTTGAAATTATTACATTTCAATTTATTCAGTTCCAATGATTGATGATTAGTTTTATTATAAAAACAAGTTCACCAACGCAACACATAATCAATGAAACTGAAAAGGCGAGAAAGACATTTAGTTTAACAAACTACAATCAAACTGACAATCAGCAATTATGGATGCAATCGAGTCAACACACAACGGCAATGGCCAACATGAACCAATCAGCATACTTGGCTATTTACTTGTTCGTATTAATAAAAATGTATCAAGTAAAATAATAATTTGGGTTTGCTCAGCATTAATGATCTTCAAAACTTTTTACAGACTTTATTCAATCTTTGATCCAACAATTTCCCTTTACGACGACAATATTGTCAAGTATGAGAAAATTTACAACCAACTGTATGCTCTAAGCCTTGGTTTAATCCTATTGAACTTTTACATGGATTATTCAATGTACATAAAATACTTGAATGCTTATAAAAGGATCGTCAAGAATGGCTTCGATATTGACTCAACTGAATATGTGGAGAAACAACTCAAAATCAATCGATTGTTCATCAAGTTGGCCTTTATTTGTGAACTGGCCATTACTGGGTACAACAATTATCTCAATTATTATCGCAAACTTGGTTTTCGAAGTGAAATGATTTTCCTTTCAGTAACAGCATGCATCACTCAATGTAGTTCACTAATTTTCGTACAATTTATCATTGAATGCTGCATCTATTGCCAATCAAGCTTCATACCTCTAAACAATTCACTGGATATAATTATAAGGCAAAATGAAAGATCGATTGATATCAATCGTATTGCTAAATTAATCCGTTTAAGTTACGATAAAACAACTGAATCTATTCGTTGCATGGATAAATTTCTAACATTTGTTCTTTTCGCTTTCTATTCGTACTACATTGGCCATTGTATTTTCGCTTTTGGTATCATATTGAGTTATGCCAGCTCATTTTATTTTCTGTCATTCGCTGTCTTGAGATTTCTGGTTGATGCGTTTTACCTTTTTTGGGTTACTTATCATTTGGTTCGCGTAAATCAACTATCAATCCAAATGTTTGACAAAGTCTATCGACTCTCATTTTCACTCGACTCATCCCATACAATCGCAACCATGAACGAGGTAAGACTCGAATCATCTGTGCATTCATTTTTGTAACTGTTTAATGTTCACTAAAATATAATGCTTTATGTTCTGTAGATCAATTTATTTCTATTGCGAACCAATCGGAATGATGTTGGATTTACATTTGCTGGCCTTTGCATGGTTTCACCCAGTTTCGTATCATCACTGGCAACCATTTCATTGACTCTTGGGTTAGCTTTGCCCAGTTTCATCAAATAACCATTCTTTTGGCTTCTGAATAATGTTATTTTTAACAAGAAAGATACAGTTAAAGTTAATGTCATTTGACTGAAAGTCCCCAAAGATGACTAACACATTAAATCGTAAAGTACACTTTATAAAAAATTAATAATTAAGTTCTTGTCAATTTTTCATCGAGTTAACTGTTGGGAATGCAATGTAACTAAGGAAAGCCCAATTGACCTAAGATTGTTTGGGATGTCGTGTTCGATGATTCAAGTATGTTTGTATGAGTAATGCATTCTGTGGTCGTCATGGCGTTCAAGAGATTTTCTGGATAACTCTTAATTCAACACGAATTTCGATCTGATTTTGGAGGAATGCTCTACTCATAAGCTTTCGATTTATAGTTTTTTTCAATCTGAGTCTGAAGCAGCTTGACTAGCCTTCTTTATCTGTATGATCTTGAATCGTAATTCAGCTTGATCTTGAAATTTGGTTTGAGTTATTGCGTTTGTTTTTCCTCTTGTTTACTGTAAAAACAAAAACAAAAATAGATGTTTAGGTTAGTTAAAGAAGGTAAAATGTAACAAATTGTTGGTTGACCCTTAGTTTTACTGTGCACGTGAGATTAGAGTTGACTAGTTTAATTTGGGTTTGCCTAATCAACTGTGATTTATTTCATAATGCTGTCTCTCATCATCAATTTGCGTCCATCTCATGTTACCAACAATGAAGATGAAAAAGACTGACCTCAATACTGACCTCCAAAGGAGATTTGCATTTTTACAGGTTTATAAACATGTTGACAACTTTCATTGAAATTGATATACAGTTGGGAATGAATACAAGTAAATATGGTAAAGCAAAAAAAAGATGAATCACAATTATAATGATAATAAGATCCGTGATCAAGAAAAGAAACATTTTTGTTCTAATCTTTTAATGAATTGAAACTTTTCAATTGCGACTGGCCTAAATGTTTGCAGTCTTTTAATCTTATTTTGAATCAATCTCAGCTAATTGAATATTTTAGGTTAATATTTATAAACCATATAAAGCACAAGTGAATGGCTGACAAGGATGAGCAAATATTTTCTAGTTTACCTAAACCGACTTAACGAAAAAACAATTTTTCAATTTTAAAACAATTCAAGATCTTAATATCAATAAATGGTAAATGGTAAATTTAATAGTCGATTCCTTGGATCTTGATAATCTAGTCCTAAATCGTTAGAAAGGTGAAACGGAAATTTGAGCACCAATTGGCTTTTCTAGATAATTTACCCTCGCTTCGATTGAGAAAAACAGATAAGTTAAGTTTACTTCTTTCATCGAGAAGCATTCGCGGATGAATTCAACTGATTGAAACAACTTGGATATTATGAATATAATGATTGTACAATGAATAAGTTGAATTTTGACCGAAATGAAATTCAGGCATAGGCATTTAATCTGATTCATTACTCAAATTCAAATATTTGTGCAGAGAAGCGGTACTTTGAATTTACTCGTTTTTTAGCCAAAACAAGATTAATATTTATATTTAATGCTCAAGTCGAGACATCAAAGGGCTGAATTTTCAATGATCAGCAAATATTCACACAAAAAATTTACACAGTAAAATGTTCAGTAAATAAATTTATAATTACAAGGGCAGGTTGGCACATAATTCAATCAATTAGTGGTTGAAATAGAAAGTAAAGGAAGTAGAATATTTCCGTCAATAAAATGGGTTCTAATTTATCGCAGTTATTCCACCTTTGCATAATTCCAAGTTTCCTTTTAAGTCTACTTCTTTCTTCAAGCTATTCAAACGTCTCCTATCAAAAGTTGCCTCCACCAGAGAATCCTAATTTTGAACAGGAACAACTTATATTAAATCCATTCAGGACAACATTGAATCAAGGTCTAACCTGTGGACAGTTGATTGCATCTCGAGGTTTCAAATACGAACGTCACTTTGTTACAACAGAAGATGGTTATATACTTGAGTTGTATCGAATCATCAATCCTTATGCTATAGCAGCTCGAGGACGGAACCTCAAGCCAATTCTGGTTCTTCACGGTGCACCCACATCATGTAGTAGTTCATGATCAATGGACCAGGCGGTCACATAAAAGAATGGGTCGATGGTAGTCCTCCTCATGATACATCGAAAAGTCTTGCTTTTGCTTTGGCCAATGGGGAGTTCGATGTTTGGCTGGGAAATGACAGAGGACCAGGTATTCGAATCATACTCGACTCGATCCATATAAAGGTAAATTATCCTGTCTAATTTGCATAATTAATTTATTTAGACTAAACAGTTATAAGCTTTTACATCTTATTCTATTAATATACATGTATCAATATGTTTATGAATTTGCCTCTGATGAATATCTTCTTTCAGATGCTGAATTTTGGAACTTTACCTTCGTTGAAATGGGCAAGTATGATATAACTGCTATGGTGGATTATATTATTGATGAAACTGGATTTGGTAAGAGTTTTATTTCCACTGACACACTGATTCAATCGATAATTTTAATGTTTGTAACTTTATTCAGAGAAAATTGTTTACATTGGTTATTCACAAGCAACTATTACAATGCTAACTCTATTAGTGAAGCAACCACAATTTGCCTGTAAATTGGATTTAAACATACTTGTTGCACCAATAGCGTTTTATGGTCACAGAAAGGGAGTCACATCTGTTATACCATCATCTTTATTGCTCACGGGAATGGGATCACAATATTCAGGCCCTTTAATACCCTTTCTCCAAGAATTTGATGCCATTTTATCGATAATATGCACAAACGATGCTGTTAAACTGATTTGCCTCGAAATTTACAATTACTTGTTTGGACCTGATCGAGAAATGATTTCACCAGATCAAATAAAAGTACTACTGAGTCAAGTGGATCAAAACTCAATTAAAAATGCTCTTCATGTAATTCAATCATTCAAATATGATCAAATTCGTGAGTTCGATTATGGTCCAAAGACAAACCTTGAAGTATATGGTTCGGAAGAGCCACCCAAATTTCCCTTCAAAAATGTTCCAATACACAATTTGGTTCTCATTAGTGGGTTAAATGACTATTTTGCTCCACCAGTAAGCGTTCAAAAGCTGAGAAACATTTTGCCAGGTAAATATTTGCTTCTGAAATAATGTACACAATCTTATTTGATTAATCAATCCTCTATCAACAGATCGGGCTTTTATTGATCACATAGTTACATGGCCTCTGTGGTCACATACTGACATCTTACTTGCTGATGAAGCCTTTGAGTACATGCATAGCGTTATTATCGATATAATCCGAGTACATGGTGAAGACATTCAAGTTTCACCGGAAGTTTGATGAAAAATAATTTCCACCTCAACTCATGATAGCTGATGTCAAATCTGAACAAATGCCGTTCACGTTGCAGTTTAGTTTGCCTCAAAAATAGAGCTTTCATCAAACAAAAGCATTGATACCTTCAGCTAATTCAATAATATTTCAATTTTTTTCAATTAAAAGCACTTTTCATTTATTGAGAATCAAAGTTTTGTTGAATATGAAATCTCAATTCAGGAAACTTCCCTAGCAAGCACTGATTTAATTGAATAACTTTTTCTGTAATATGGCATTCGAATTGAGTACTCAAAGGAAAAGTAACGCAAATTTACATAGTGAAGTACGTGCCAACTTGACGTCTACATGTGACTTTATTGATATTGATTTGTTTTAAGCGACGAAACATCAAACAAATCAATTTAGCCAAACATGATTTTTCAAAGTTATATCAAGACATCCGTCATTGTATCTTGACTTTGACTCTATTTCAGACTTGCGTCTGTATTATACCTAAAATATTGAATTGTTTGATCCTTGAAGTGGTTCTTGAGTTACATTGGCTTTTAATGCCTTTGGCTACTTAGTTTTTGCTAATTAAATGTATAATTTTGCTAATTGAGTCTTATTTGTATTTGTCAGATATTCATTTGAGAAAAGCTAAACTTTATGATTATTTCTTAATGTTGACCGCTATGATGATTAACTGATTAATGAATAAGAATCTTAATTTAGAAACTTGTATCGGAATTGACGTGTGAAAGTGAGTTAATATCAATTTATTATTGAACTCAAAATGCTTATAAATACAGTAAAATAGTGATACATAATCGAAGCTAATTCCCTTAATACTTCGCACGCAGCTTCAATTTGACATCAACTATCGTCCACTAATGTTACTAATGAATACAGTCATCAACTTAAGTTTATAAATCTGGTCAAAGAAAAGAAGAAGAAGAAATAAAAGAGAAAAGAAATTGATGAAATGAATAAATTATGGCGGAAAAAATGTTGAAATTATTCATTCCGTATTCCAAGTGTGTTGAGCTTAATTGTTTTGAAAGAATGTGATTATTTATATAAAAAAATTTAACCAAATTCCTGATTATTGGGTTGACCCTGTGTACCAACTGATTGATACTTTTGCAATCAACCTGGAAGGGTTATCCAAGAATGATGATCAATTTTGTCTCAAACCAGCTAAAAAAAGAAGGTATATTGAACGTAAAAGATAGCCTCAAGTGGCTACCTTTACCATTCTCATCATCACCATCATCATCTTCATCTTCATCATCCTTATCATTTTCAGATTCTTCCTAAGAAAGCCCAAGGGAGGTAAACAAGAAGCTCAAAAGCAGGGGAGGGATGAGGATGAAGATTGTTTGGTTTGTTCATCATCATCATCATCGTCATGACAGGTCCTTTTGCTGTTTCTCACCAATGATACGATGCCCAACCCAATGCCCTTTAGGCCTACACCAAACCTTGTTGCTTGTAACAGTGAATAACAACAGTAAAAGCAACGGTAACAGCAATAACGGTAAAGGCAGCAACAACTTGCAACAAGCTGACAGCTTTGGCCTGATCCAAGTTACCTTTTTTTTCATCCCTTCATATCAAGTTAATAAAAAGGAAAGAAAAGGAAAGAGAGGAAAAGAGAGAGAAGATATGAATGACTTGGATCAACCGGATTCTCTACTGACCATTCATTCTTGTCAATATAATGTTCATCTTGATTCAGGTTATTAGTTGCGAGTTAAAACATTGCCACAAGGATTTGGATTAAGATGACCTGATGTAAGCCTGTAAACAAGTAAACAAGAAGAGAGGAAGATGAAGAGAGAGAGAGAAAAGGTATGAAGATGATATTAAAAGGGGTAAAATGATCAACAGAAGAGATGATGATGGAGATATTATTAAACTCATCATTGAGAATGACTTGGTGAATGGTAATCCATTGATTCCGACTGATGATGGTGATGATAGCAAGGACAATGTATCACTAATCATCAGTCTAAATGGTTTCTTCAAATTGCCCTTTTCTTTCCCTGTTTTACTCGCTTTTTCATCATTCATTCAATTTTTTGATTCTTTTTTTTCTCTTTTTCTTTTTCTTCTTCTTCTTTGAAACATTTTTTTGTATAAAGTTTCTTATTCCCTTCTTGTTCCAACTCATGAATGTTTGTCTGTTTTAGACATTTTGGGACATTCATTTTCAGTCTTCAATTTGATTCACAGTGAATTATCGATCATGAAATCAGATTAACCTTTTTTGTTTATCATCATTTATACTATGATTGTACCTTAAATTAACCCTCACTTGATACCAAAAAGATCACGTTTTAAGTTTAAATAACCAATAATTTTGACTAAATTGTTGAAATACATTTCTTTCGATTCTTTCAATTGGCTAATTAAATCGTGTCCAATAAACTATTTCAGTCCACATTGTGTGGCCAGTCTAACAAAGAGATTGTTTCAATTCTTAAATAACATTTTTCATTAAACGCGAATGAAACTAACCAAAAACCTTTTAACTATTGAATAGCAATTAATTTGATTGAACCCAATATTTGCTGCTCATGCATTTTAAATTGAATATAAAGTTAATGTATCAAATTTTTGTGCAAAAATTTTAGACAAGACGAAATGACTCTAAGGTAAATTTTTACACAGCCTGAAAGTCATGGTTGAACTAACATGTCCGAAGTCAGAGTTTAATCAAAATTCAGGTTACTGAGAAATTCACGTTTAAACAGGGCGAGGAGAAAAACCCAGAATCCGTATTTGAAATCATTGAGTGAAGGGGAAAAACTTTTTGAATTAATCACGTTTTAACGTAAATTGTGATTTAATGTTGAATAAAGAGTTTATACAAAACTTTAACTTTCGATCATTTTTTTTCATCAAAAATTTGGGTATTTTCGATGTAGATTCATAGTATCCTGCTCAGTAAAATTTTACAATCAATCATGACCGAGAGCTCCACTCGTAACAATAAACTCTGGGAATCATAAAAATTTCGAGTTACATCAGGGATTGACTTCACAATGTTCAAATGTCACATTGTATCAGTTGAAAAAATTGTCTCGAATTCAGATGAAGTTTAGCCAGCATTTATTCATAATCAACTTTAGAATCTAATTAAATGAAAATGAGCTGAGTGGGTTTAATCAACTTTTGATAATGACAAGTGTTCGGAACGAACGAGATCCGAGAGTTAAACCAACGATATTTTGGGCAAAACCTTAAAGTTGACAAAATAACCATTTATATTTACAGTAACACTACAAGTTGATTTTCATCAGTTTCAAATGCAGTTGATCTAGCATTTTCATTTTGATTAGTAACTTGAAAACCAAATCGGGTTGATCGGTTTCAAAAATTTACTGAAATGAGCAAGAACATTGATTCTTGATTCTTGATTGATATAATTACAAGCTAAAGACAAACAGCAAAATTGGGTTAACAATGTTGAGTTTGAAAACAAAACAAAACCAAATTTATTTCCCAACCAAACCCATTACCACTTTCAACTTACACCTTTCACCTTCACCATTTTACCCAATCTTTCAATCTTTTTTACCCAAAATTCAATTCCAATTACAACCGATTGATTAAGCTACAATTTAACCCTTCAAATATAATACAACAAACGAAAATGTTTCCCATAGAAAAGACAAAAAAATGATGAAATTCAGCAACTCTGATCAATTGATCAATCGTTAAACTGAAGAATCTGGACAATTGCGTTTTCCTTTTCCTTCTCAAATCTAAATTGAATCAAATTTAAACTCAAACATTTTCATCGTCATCATCATTCTCTCCTCCTATTATCCTCCTCATCATCTTTTTCCCCTTCTCCCTACAAGACCCAAAGCCGGATGAAAAATTTCGTCAGTTTCTTCATCTTCTTCTTTACCTTTTTTTTCTTCATTACCTTTTCCAGTCAAACCAAAAATAACGGTTCTCTTTCTTTTCTCTCAATGAAAACTAGGAAGATGAGCAAAGAGGACTTACCTTGATCATCATTATCATCTTGAACAAGACCAAGTTCAAGTTTAACGACTCATCTTGGCCCCTCTTGCCCTCTCTTATCATCAAGATGCTTCTCTCCTTTTGCCTCCTTAAATCAGTCAACAAACTATTTACCTGAACCATTGAAACATACAATCTCTCCCTCTTCTCTCTCTCTCTCTCATCTTCTTTGGTGATCTTCATCTTCATCTTTCTCTTCATCTTCTTCTTTCATTTCTTCATCTTTTATCTTCATCATTTCTATTTTGATTCGGTTACAATCAAAGTTACATTCTGTCCAGTGATTTACACCAGTCCAGTGTATTTAAATTATTAAAGTGTATTAAAGCAAATTTTTTTTGTACAACAACTAAAAATGAATTTTCACATTTCAAAGGTATGTTGTTAATTTTTTGTTCAACCTTTAACAATTTCAATCTCAATTTCCTCTCAATCATGTTTCCATTTCCTGATGTTTCAATGTTTCATCGTTTACACTTCTCGGTGTCGGCTTCAATATTAATCAATAATTTAGTTAAACTGTGAACCGTAATCCTCTCTGTCTAGTGTTAAGTGAATATGAAAGAGACAACAAACGATAAACCTTGACTTCTCAAGGAATCTGTGAATTTTTGATGAACAAAAATTCTGAAACCAGGAACTATTTCTCTTCTTTCTCTATTCCATTCTCTAATCAAATGCTAGAAAATTTCAATCGATAAAATGAAAAATCTCTTTACTCTTCACCAGCTTCTACCGCCACAGACATCATCATAATCATCTTAACTTTTGTCTTGACTCAAGAATAGCAATAATCTTGAATCTTGAGTCTTAAATCCTTTTACTGTTCATTTCTCAGTTGAAGTTTAGAGTTGACTTTTGTTTCATGAAACATGAAAGAGACAGAAGAAAGAAATTACTGAAACTCAGTAATTTAAATTAATTAACTTGACCATTTTGTGCTCTTGTTCAACTAGCCTCGGGTCAATTCAGGTAACAGGATTTTGTCTTTCTAAATGAGGCCCTTTATATTAAACATAAAGCATATATTTAGTATTGAACTTGAAAGAGAAGCAAATGTCATGTTTCTTAAGATGCTTCCTGGATCCTTTTCATCATTCAATTGCTCAGACTATTTATCCACCTAATTGGTGGCTCTTTTCATCCTTATCATCATCATCATCATCATTAACATTATCATCATCAACAGTCATCATCTTACTCTCACTCACCCACTCGGCCTTTTCAAATTTTTCTCAACATTCTTCACATGTATTCACTATTAATAAGCTTATGACTTCTGATGCACGAAAGCCTTTTCTTCCCTCATCTTCTTCTTCTTTCTTCTTCTTCATCATCATTCTCATCATCTTCATTGAAACAGGTTACTGATACTATCAAGAATATAATTTAATTCAATATTAAACCTTTACTTTGAACTGTGATTGTTGAGATGATGGTAATGATATAAAGCCATTCAATTTTCATTCACCTTTAAACTGGACATTTTACTTACCCTTAATTTGCTCCTACCTTAAGTGTGTTAATTAATTTTCATTTTAACCTTGATTAATTGTTGAGTTTCTCACAGGAAACAAAGCAATCAATTAGCCTGGAAAGTTAATACTAACCTTAAGAAAAGCAAAAAACCTAAATTAGTCTTTTTTACCAGCAAGAGCTGTCCACCTTTGAAGGGTCACAATCCTTATAAATACAGTAATCCTCAAAATGTAACGCTACCAAGGAATCAGTCTAATTGTCTAGATATGATTTAATTTAACCCAAAAAATTAAACATTAAAACAAGCTTCATTGCTAAGAAATTCATGAAATCGTTACAACGAACGAAACATTGTCTAAAAAATTTGACTTGAAAATGAAGCTTTAACCAGAGTCACATTGAGAGGCATTGCTGTAACTGATTTTCATTTGGTGAAATCAACTCTTGATGTAATATTTTGAGTTAAAGTTTTCCTGAAAGAATCAAAAGATCACTTTATTATAATTTAAATGTTGAACATTTTAAGGTCAGATTTGGATAAAATTATTGAGAAATGATCAGCAATAGAAGTATCATGATCAGTATTGTTCAATTGAAGTCAATTTTTTTTTGCTTCTCTTCATTTCTGTTTAGTCAAACAAACGGATCTAACAGGCAATTGTTTTTGTGTCAATTTTTGCCAAATAAAAGGCTTGTAATGAAATGATCGGTAAACATCATCATTTGCTGTTGATTTTAAATCATTTATCATGTGTGAAACTTCAACATCAACAATCAACAGTAAAAGATGATGATGATGATTGACGAGTCAACACAAGCAAACAAACAAATAACCTGAAAACATGTTTTGTCTCAAAACCTATTAATATTAGTGTTGCCAATTGAGTCTATGAGTTGTTATTGTTTTAAGTGGTCAGTAAGTCAGGTACAGTCAGAAAAAAAACCTTTACCATCTATTAATGATTGTGATTTACTAAAAACAAGCGCAAAGCCAATTCTAATAATTACATTTGAATGACCTTATTTTACCTTGCTCTTTGTAATATAAAAAGAAAGGATTGTAAGGTAAGTTTACTGTTAGCTTGTTGATGAATGAAAACAAAACAAAACCAGCAAAAAAAGGGGAAAATAATTTATAACTGTTTACCTTGTTCGTGATGAAAATTACAAGTAAAAGATGATGGTCAGATCATGATTTTGAATGGGTCAACTTCATTGGGAAAAATAGCCTTGATCGTTCAGTCATCAGTCATCCTTTCATCCTCAATTCAAGATGAAATGACATGATCACAAAGCCAATTTACTTGCAATTATTGCTATTAACATGATAATGGTCCAACTTGGTTCAACATTTATTTCATTATTTCACTGCAATCGCACATTCACTCATCTTCACCTTTCAACTTTAATCTCTCAACATGGGAAAATCCAATCAGACAAAAGTCTCACCTTTTCATCATCTTTCATTATCATTACCTCAACTCATGACCTTACAAATGATGTTTATCAAGTTTACCTTTTTTTAGTTACGAACAAGTTAATGATAGCAAAAAAAGGATTTTTTTCTTGATGATAAAAAGCAAATCATGCTTTTAAAATGTCGATGACCTGATAGACTTTCAGATTTTAATTCAGCAACAAAATTATCACATTTTGTCAAAATCAGATGAGAGATGGTTATCCTTGTTTGATGGCTTTTGCGCTTCACTTTGGTAGCTTGAAAAGAGGAAAAAATTAGTCAATGATTAACTGTTTACTGATCTTTATGTGGACCAGTTTATAAGACGGGATCAACTGATACTTGATTCGTATTCAATGTTATCTGTTCCCAATTGAACAGAAAAAAATGTCGTGTTACTTGAAGCATCAAGTTTATTATTGTCACCACATCATCTTTCGATATCTTCTTCCGTTTATTGAAACACTTTAACTGTACTAATTTTTTTCTTCAACTTGAAAAAAAGGAAAATTCAACGTTTTCTTGTTTCAGTCGCATTGTCACAGTTTAATGATTAACTAAGTAATCGATTTTTGCTCACAAAATTAGTAACTCTATTTTTGCATTACCATGAGTGTTTGTGTGGTCGAGCCGATAAAGATAATTGAGTAATGAACAATAATCAAATCAATCAGTTGTGTAATTGTATATTTGTTCATCTTTAACATTCAACTGGAGTCTTTTCATTTTCAGCCAATTTTTCATAGTTTCAAGTTTCTCAGCTTCTCAAGTTTAACCAACATTCAAACGCCTTGTAAACGTTCAATTTACATGATTAAATCTTCATCTAAATGATTTTATCATTAACTGTAATTGTTAACCTTTTTTTTATGCCAACCTCACTTTAATTTAAAATTCAATTGGAAAACAAAAAAAGACCAGAAAAAAAAGAAACCAGAAGATCTTGTTTTGTTCAATATAAAAACAATTAACTGGTTACCATTTATTGCTGGTATACATTTACTGGTTTAATTGATTGCTATTTAGATGCTTAATTTACTACATTTCCTATCCTTGGATCAATTTTATATTTTAATAATGAATATCTTGACCTATTAACCTTGAGATTGAAATTGTTTCTTTTCATTTAAATGATTGAAATAAACAAATGAAATTAACCTTTTTTTTGTGTATGTTTCCACCATTTTCACTCTCTTGTCCAAATTTAGGTTTTTTGGATCGTCGCTTCAGTGATTGCCACTGTAGTATCAATAGAATCACCCAAACCTGAATTAGTAGCAACAAGTCCAACCGCAGCAGTATCCACCGTATCAGCACTTCCCACCGGTCCCATACCGGCAGGACCAGAGGCAAGACAAGCTCCATCAGCGGCTGTCGGTTCAACCGGAGGATCACCAGTTTATCCTTACAATCTTAACTCACTTTACGCTTCAGGTTATGAACCTTCATCACCACCCTCTGGTCCTTCTGGATCGTCCATCATGTCTTTTTTACGAAGCCCACAAGGAGGCCGTAGAAATTCATTGACAAGTAGACTACGAAATTTGATGAACTCAATCTTCTTCAGGTAAACCTAACCTTTTCTTTTTCACTCTACACCAACATTATCTTTCAAAGAAAAGCATCTTTTTAGACTCTTTCTACTCTTACCCTTTCCATCCAAATGAAGACAGTTAATAACAGTAATCAAGTAGAAAAGCAAATTAAATTTAATTAATAAGTGTTGCTGGTTCAGTGCAATACAAGCCTGGTGGAAAAACTTCATTTACAGTTGAGTTAATTACATGGAACCGGAAAAGAATGTAAAATTAAACATTTTACATTTACAATGCCCTTAAGTAATTATTGAGTCAAATTTCAAAATTTTTAATAGTTGAAACTAGCAAACAAGATGAAGATGAAGAGGATAAAGAAAAAGAAGAAGAAGAAAAATGCCTTTCAATGAACATTTCTTTTTTGATAAAGTTGCCTTAATGAAATCAGATTAATCTGATATGATATTGCTTTTGCCCAGAAGAGAGACTGGTTCACCTTACATGGCCAGTGGATCAAGTTATTCATACGCATTCAGGCAGCCACCACCATTTGGTTTCTCATCTCTTGGTGCTTCCTCCGGACTTCCTTCAGGTTATGGGTCATCTCCAAACTTTTTAACTGCTGCCGCATCAGGTTATCGACCTGTTGTCTTCCCTAATTATCCTGGCTCCGGATCAGGTTCAGGTTCAGGACCTGGCCACTCATCTTGGTCCAATTACAAACAATGGTCTGGACCTGGTTCCTCTGGTTCACCTTCAGGCTCTTCTGGTTTAACCTCATCCTTGGGTTCACCCGGAGGAACCAATTATGCCTGGTCATCTGGCTCTAGTTCAGGTTCATCTGGTTCACCTTATTCATCAGGTTTAGTCTCTTCTTACAATTCACCTTCCAGTGGTGCCAGTCCATCTTCATCATATGGTTCATCTTCCGGTTCCATTCCATACCAAGCCGCTGCTTCCAACACTTATCCATCAGCAGCTCCAGCCTCAACGTACGGATCATCTTCATCTTATCCAGCCTCTGGATCACCTTACCAACGATCATCCAGTTCAAACTTTAAACCTGTCCCATCCTCAGGATCCATTGTTCCCTCTTCATCTTCCGTTTCATCTTCCTCATCAGCCAATCAACCTTCAAATACTTACAAAAACTAGACTTTAGGAAAGCGATAATACAAACACAACAACAACAACAACAACGTTTAACAACAAAATCATCAAATTGATTTAGAAATGCATTTATATAAATATATATATATATAAACAAAAATGAAACAAACGATTGAAAAGCCAGTTCATGGACTTGATCTCCCGGGATATTTATGAACATGACTAAGAACCACCAACAACAGTTTAGCTTGAATTTTGCTGAGAATTTGTTTCCAATGAATAATTTGTCTACAAATTTTTGCTTTGATTTCAATACGAAACTCAGCTGATATTAATTCACCTCCGGGATCTTAATTTGCCATCACATTTTATGTCATTGATTTTTGTACCAACCAATCAACCCACCCACCATAGCCCAACTTTCATTTCAATGTTTCAATTTTTACAATTTTATTTAAGACTCAAACAAAACATCTTTTTATGACAAAAAACAAATCAAAAGCTTGAACGGGATTAAAATTTAAATATTTTTGAGGTCAATTTACAATTTCAATTCATTGTTTAATCAAAACCATTTCAAGATTTGATGCAAAATAAGGAAATGATATTTGAAAATCGGTGTCTTATTATATTAGATTTAACATTAAATATGAAAATCATGGTTAAGCATTTAATTTACAAATACGTTGACTCTAGTATAAAATTGGATAAATGAATAAAGACAATTTAGTCAGTACAATATAATTTAATTAAACTTTGCCAATAATAACTAACGACTTTACATAAGAAGGTTTAATCATTTTAGTTTTACTTGTTTTCATTTTTACCAGAAAAATAAAAAACTTGTTTGACTATTCAACAGAGATGATTTGTGTGTATTTTTATGATTTGCTGTCACTTTTTTTTGTATATTTGATGGTCTTTGATAGTTTAATGTACATCATTAGCATCTTCATTAATATCATAATTATATAATATAATATAATAATAGTAATAATAATAATATTTTTGTTAAATTATTATATGTAAACCCAAACACTTTTGAGGCACTTTTGTCGGAAAGAGAAGGAAAAAAGAGATAAATTGAAGTGAAGTGAAGAGTTAACATGAGAACGAAGAAAAATATGGGCCAAAAGAGGAATGTCATAATTTTAGATGCTTGGCACTGATTCAAGAAAGTCCATTTCAAATGTCTTGTCAAACATATTGACATCTTCCAAGCTTTCCATGATACTAGGACAAATCGAAGCAGTATCAACTTTGTCTCCTTCATCTTTGGAGTCCCGAACAAACGGAACATCATCAGTTTCATTTGGAAAACTCAAGGTGTAAAAAAATGGATAGAGATCAAAAATGGTGTTAATACTCGTAAGGTTGATAAGAGGGCATTTTGGACGAGCCAGTAATCTTTCAGGCTTTGATCCCTAAAATGGTGAACAAGAGGAAGAAAATGATTAGAAACAAATTAAAAATAACAATTTTTAGAAGGAAAATACCTTAAGTCTCATAAGTTTCTCAATGCGAATCACAAACGGTTCAAAAAGAGTCGATGGCTGTGGTTGTCCAGTATAACTTTCAATACCGTTAAATGATTCAGATTTAGGTCTTTCTGAAATGTTTACATCAAGTGGTGAATCAGTTTCATCGGTGCTGTTTGGTACAAAGGCCCAGCGATACATTTGAAATTGAGGTAGTGAATCAGTCGGCAAAGCTAAGGCCAGGTCAAGCAATTTACATGCTTGTAGGTACAATTGTAAATTACCAGATGATTGCAGTGATTGGCCAATCGTTGAACCATTTAAAATCCATGAATTTTCAGTTCCAGATAATCTGAGAAGGCCACTAAAACTAGAAAAGAAATAAGATAATTTTAGTTAATGAATTTCAACTTGAAACTAAACATCAAAATTTCCAGTATTTCAATGAACTTACCTTGCATTTTTTCTGTAAATTTAAAAATCCGTTAAATTGTCCAAAATGAATCCGCGTTCATAGAAAAAGATGGAAGAAAAAGAAAAAAAAGAAATAATTAGAATCCTAAGATGTTCCAGAATATATTATTGTAATTTTACCTCAGTTCATTTCCTTCCGGCATCAATTCAGCTTCAATTTGCAAGAAAACTTGACACTGAAAATTTAGACAAAAAAGGATAATTAGTAAGTGTGAATAAAAAGCTGTCAAGATTAAATTTCGATTGATTTGAAACACAGGTTTGAGGGTTATATCAGTTTAGTCTTGATGAATCATGAGCCATGATAATGAAATTGAAGATAAAAAACATGAATCTTTCCCTTCTCATATACATTGAATCAATTATTAATCTATATAACCCATTGTCAATCAGAAATGTAATTAAGTTTTGCAGCATCTCTGTATTTAATTACCATTTCAGTGTAAATGAATGGCCATAATGATGTTAGATAATGTGATGACATTCTGGAGATAAGTATCCTGAAACATATCAGAATGTTTGCTTGAAGAATAGATGAACTATTCACTCTCAGTGCTTCAATCAATTTTTCTGTAAATAAAAGAAAAAGAAAAATTTAGTTTAAGAAGTTTCACGCAAATTGATTAGACAATAATAAACAAAGAATAGGTAGGGCAAGGTAATGATGGCAGACTAATTAAGCATAATGAGCATAAATTATCAACAGAGTTGGTGATAAATTCAAGAATAATAAAAGACACAAATATATTTTTATTCATATAACCATCAGTTTTGTTTACTGATTACTTGTTCCATTGCTTTATCATAGATCGAAGGTTATTTTTGATAGATTGACAAATTTATGAATAATAATTCTTCTGAAAACCAGGAAATTAATCTAATCATTTAGATTAAATTACCACTAACCATTGAATCAATTATTGTATCAACGGATATGGAGGCATTGTTTTCAAGTAATGATATCAATCTTTAAGAACAAGTTTTATTAATAAAACAAAAAGTAGATGGAGAGGGAATCTATGAGAGGTTAGAAATGAAGGTTGAACATTTCATTACACCATGTAATCGAAATGATTGGTGATAATAAATATTGCAATCAATTATTGGTTCCAATCATTAATCCATCGATAATTAAGATTAGAGTAAATATAAAAATAATCATTCGACTATTAATGATTCAAGAATAAAACTAGACCTAAAATAGGTTAACAAAAGGTTTCGATAAATGGATATAACAAGGCAAAAAACAATATGTAATAAAACTAAATTTAGTTCAAGTAAACAGGCGAAATTGCCACTGAAATGATAAAATTCAGAACAAACAACGAGCTTGTTATAACGATGAAATCTAATAGTTAAAGTGAAAAGGCGAAGGAAAAAATTTGAAAAAATCAAATTTTTGAGCAAGTGTGTACATCGATTGGACTAGTGGACAAGGTTAAATATTTTGAATTTTGAGTAAATGTTAAGTAAATGTGCATAAATGTACTTGTGTTAGAAAAGCAATCAAGGACGAGAGACGTTTAATTACAGCTAACTGCGAAAAAAGGTGTAACAGTTAAGGTAACTTTGGCGCCCTTGAGTAAGTAAAAAATGAATGAGAAGCATGAATTGACGGATATGAATTCATCTGATGATAATTTTCAAAAAGGACCATTGAAAGTGATGACAATATAACTTTTAGCCATATTAACCCTAAATTTGAAGAGTAAAGTATCGAGATGAAAAAGCTAGGCATTTTGTATGAGTTGATATAAGTTGACTGATGAAAAGGATGAGCATGGAAAGAGTGTGATTCAATGAGTGAAGAGTTACCTTGTATCTCTGGCATGTATCTTTGGTATTGATCTTTTTCGCTACAAAACAGGATAAAAGCTAATCGTTTGGCCAATTGGGCCCGTAATTCAGTTTCTTGATCTTTAGATGAAAAAATTTTCAACGATCCGGATTGATTGACAGACATTCGGATAAGAAAATCTCTGAATGAAGTTTTATCATGGGTCATCAAGTGATCCACAATTGTTTTCCAATATTTAAGACAGTATGGTTCGATTTGGAAAAAAGCAGGATCAAGAAGAAGTTCAAGAGCATCTTTTCGCCACGCTTTCCGGGAATATTGGTATCCAGATATGCTTGACAAAAGATGTGAACAAGCTCTGAAGCTTGGTATATTGTTTTTACTGTGAAATGATTTGTGAAAAGAAAAAAGCAGATGGCGAAGAAAAAAAAACGAATGAGTTAATGTAATTGTTTAAAGAATAATGTTGATGAAATATCTTCATGGAATGTATCATTCTCAAGATTTACCTGTGATTTCTAAGATAAGGTGTAACATAACCAATAATGTTACTGACAAGAGGAACAACCTTTTCTTTCTCTTCGCTAACGTATACAACATCAAGAACTGGTGCGACAAACTGTAAATAAAATTATACAAAAGTAAAAAGATAGAAATGAGATTAAATTGATTAAATTATGCAAATGATTTTCAACAGACACAAAAAATGAAAAAGGTTAGAATGTAATTAAAAAATATAGCTGCAAATGACAAACCTGAGCAAGAGCATTTAACGCTTGGACACTGTAACGAGCTAGGAATGTATCACTATCTGGATTTATTGAAGAATCAAGAGTCAAACTATTCGGAGATGCATCAACCTTCAAAGAAGATGGTTCTCGATAATCAGTGTAATCATTTTCTTCATCGACATCATCTTGCTGAGGACCAGGTCGAACTTCTAGATTTTTACGAAGCCATTTGGTTTGTGAGAGTCGAGCAGCAGCCACATTTGTACAAGCTTCAACCAATTTTTGGGCTACTTCTTGAAGATCTTTTTGATCTTTACGATCTTCGAAAAGAGGAGCAGCCTGAACAAATTCATGAAGTATTGCAAGAAGATGGAATTGAGCCAATGGTGACGATGCAGATATTTGAAGGCCATCTCTCAACAGTGCTAATAATGATTTCCAACATTCTAACAATTGACTTCCAGGGAAAACTTTAATATATGCCAGCAGAAATTGTAACATGCTAACTTCCAAGGGAATACGCTTCTTACGAGATTGAACAGAGTGAGGTGGTTGTTTGATAACATGGCGAACCGTTTGAAGGACAGATTCCATTGGTAGTACTCTAACGGCAGCAATTAAATCAACAAGTAGTGTTTGTTTAGCACTACATGGTGGGATTACACTTTTTTTGTCTGAAATATTTTTTGTATCACGTAAATCATACCAAACAGTAGCAACAGAGGACATGAAATTGTTCCCATGTAGTAATGAGATTGGACTTAAGAAGCTGAGAATATTTTTCTTAACATCTTTTGGAGTTCCCATTATTTGCCAACCGGTTCCTTCACCTCTTCCATTTCCTGAATCATAATCTTTATCAGATTCTTCAGCTTTAGTAATTACTCTCCATATTGCTAAGATACCACCTAAGATTCTTGGTAAATGACTGAGAACAGTTCTTCTAGAAGAGAGTAAAGGATCACCTGAACTATTGGAAGAGTTTTCTCGATTTTGATTGAGATCTGAAATACCCTCAACTCCAGTGAATACATTGAGAAAACTTGATAAAACTTGTAAAGGACCAGTAGAGGTTGTAGCTGTGGTTGATGTTGGATTAGGTGAGATATTTGAGGGTTGAGGAAGTGTAGTCATTGTATTTGAAACTGTATTGGATGTATCAAGGAGACAATAATGACAAAGAGTTGACAGGCTTTTCAAAATGATTGTCAGATAATTAGGTGGCATTGGAATCATATTATCTTCATTTGATGTTGATGAAGATGAGGAATTTGTTGTTCCAGTAGGAGGTATGATTGAGGTTATTGTTGCAGTTGGGTCGCTGAAATTTTCAATCTTTTGTGCTATACTTTCTAAATTATGACACAATTGACTGATTACACACACAACCAAACGGGTTAATGAGCGTCCAGCAAAGGGAAGTGTAGCCTCAACCAATGATAACCAATTAGAGTGTAAATTGGCTTTATGGGTTTGTTGGAGGGCCGTTTGGATGGCAGATAGAAACATTGATTGTGAAGGAATTAAAATGTTTGGACAATATTTTAAAGCAGACATTTGTGGTTGGAAGCGAATACGTGCTGCTCTAGAATCACTTTCTTTACGGTTATGGGTAGGAAGGTCTTTCTCTGCTTGCGATGTAACTGGTGAAACTTTGTGCTCTAAAATGATTAACTGTTCCAATAATTTAAGAATACTTTTTTGCATATCTTCCTGGAATCCTGAAGAGCCCATTTTCTCGTTAAATTCAACAATTGTATCTGGAAAAGTATCTTCATCAGCTCGATCTTTACCAGATTTTTGTCCAGAATTTCCTTTCAATTCACTTTTTTGTTGAAAGTTGTAAACACTTGAAACAACTCCATGTAAAATTACTTTTTGTGATTTACATCGCATCAGCATATCATTAAGGTAACTAGAAAGATTAGGTATCCTTTTAATGGCTGTAACCAATTCACTAAAAATTAATCGTAATATTTCACATGAAAGAATGCGAACTTTTTGATTTCCTTGAATTTCATCTTCATTAAGTCTTGATTGAGGTAAACATGGATAAAAACTTCTTATATAATAAAGACACGTTGTGACAATTACCTCTAGGAAAGAGGAACTTCTGAAAGCTGTGACTGATTCCGTGTCAACATCACCGTAAAAACTTCGTCCCAAGATTGATTTACGATGACGTGCACATAACAACTGAAGCTCATGGGAACGAGTTCCAAGGCGATTACTGATACTCGTTGTTGCCATTTTGAACAGTACCATTTGTGGTTCGGCTAAAATTATATTCCATAAAGTTGTGAGTGCGTAAAGTGTACGTCTAGAGTCATAAACTTGAGTATAAAGAAGTATGTGCGAATGAAGATGATTCACAGAGATGGGTTTAAGCCAACTCGTCAAGCTAACGGATTCTGATATAGTTTGTCGTGTTGTTGTTTCAGAGGAAGATGATTGACTTTCATCATCTCCATCTTCAACACGAGAGACTACATTATCAATCAACTCATCCATAAGATTGGCAATGATTTCTGAATCAGATGAGGTTTCAGAGGGTTCTTCCATTGATATTTTACTCGCTCTTGATGGTATTGGCGTTGAAATAGGAGTTGGTGTTGGCGTTGGAGTTCGCCTAATATCTTCATTGGATTTAATTAAAGTCCACCTTTGATCAGATTTTTTGCTATTAATGGTGTTGTTGTTGTTATTGTTGTTTATTATATTTAGATTGTTGTTGCTCATTGATGACTCTGAAGTTGGTACAACTGATATTAGACTAACTGGATTGTTATCTATTGATTCGAGAACTTCACTGGTTAATGATGACAATGATCCAAATGGATTTAGGAACATGTTGATTGATAAATGTTTACCACTGTTGTTACTTTGATCACAGGAAAAAGGAACCTCATAGTCAGGTAAATTGCATTTCTGTGTAACCCATTTACCGGTAACTTGTGAAGATTTGGATGAAGATGTTTGAGAAGTATTTTGACTTGTAAGGGCAAGAACCTTGTTAGACGATGTTGATGCTGCCGAAGTGAATCTCTTTTTACCCTCTGGATTAACATGATAAATTAAATTGCCACCGGTACTGCTGATTGCATATATTTTGGCTTCGGCTGCGGCTATAGCTGCATTATCTGCCTCATCGGATCGTCCAGTTACATTTTGTTCAGTTGTACCACTTGGATCACTGGGTTGATGAATATTTACATGTTGCACGGAAACTCGATTGGTGTCGGGATGAAGAAGAATGAACATTAATGGCTCTAAAATTCTTGCAACATCACCATACTTGAGACATTGATTTAACCAATCAAAGGCTTGGGCATTGTGTGCATCCAATTTGTGTGTTAAACTGTCCAACATAAAGAAGAGAGGTCTATCAAACTCTCTCATACTTGCATATAAACTTGATTTTTGTCTAAGGTCTCTTGTGATTGAGAAAAGTGTACAAAATTTTCGTCTCGCCTCATATGAAACAATTTCATCTGAAGATGCCATAGCAAAACATATTACACTTTCACAAACTGAAGAATCAGCTGCTAAATTATGAACTTGTTGGAGTAATATTGCAGTCTCAAGGTGTAGCTCACTAAATTCATCGCTTAAATTGTCCCAAAGTTCTTGAGTAACCTTTATAAAATAATCAGTTGAATTGTAAATAAAGTTTAACTGATCACCAGATAAAAATTTTTCAATGCACAATCCCGAGCAAATAACTCTGTTAAGTGTTTCACTATTATTAAAATCAAGAACAGGTGAACTTGATGGTGTAAAATTGGCCAAATTCGGAGGTAAAGGAATATCCATTAGTTGTGATTTAAGAATAGACACAAGATCGAGAAAGGTTGAAATCGAAGTGTATTTAACCTTGACGTTTGATTTTCGAGTAAATATGGAAAGAACAAGCAGCTCTTTTGTCCATTCTGATAGAAAATTTCCCTTCTTGTAGTCATCATCTCTCAGATCAAAGCCATTCATAAGACCATTGAGCAAAAGTTCATCGCCCACTTTTTGTATGAGTGCTGCTTTTACCAAGAGTTGACATAAATTAATATAGACAGGAATCATAGATGCATTTAGATTTAAAATTAAATTTGAAGGTGGTGAAGGAGTTGACGAGACTCCATTTGATGAATTTACTCCATCAAAGCGGTCTGGGTTGGAAAGTAAAAATTGTTCAAAACAGGTTTGCAGGATAGATTCATTTTCAATTAAGCGAGTTCTTACAAAAACATCAAAAAAATTGGCAACTTTAGCTATTAATTTATCGGTATATGATCGATTATCATCACTTTCAATTGCTGCGGGAGATAATGCTAAAGTTGAACCAAGTAATGATGGCTCAGCTGAACTTGGTGTTGTTGCTGGTGTTGAACTTAATCCAATGTCATCCATTTTTAGAGTTACTTCACTAGCACATAAACTTTCAGTTTCCTCTTTGATATCAGCTAGACTATCACGTTCTTTTGCTGGTGTCTTTGAGCGTTCAACTTGTGGTGTGGGCTGAATTTTTGTAGCAAGTTTGGAACACAGATTAATAGCCATGTCCATTTCTCCAGGTTTAAATAAATAACAACATTTAATGGATCGATCAAGAATAAAAAGTAAGGCATCTTGATAACATTTGGAAGCTGTCTCCGGATCATTGGAAGTTGCATCAACCATGAAATCCATCAGAGACAATATTTCTATTATCTTTATGTTTGATGTACCTACTGGTTGAGGGTAATCAGTTGCACTTAACCCATCTCGAATCACCGAGCCTGACTCTACTAAATTACATGCTTTTTCCAAGAGATCATAAAGCCTTTGCCAAAGATAATCCAATTTCAAATTGCTTAATAATAAATTACATGTTCTGACCATATCTGAGCTACACTTTTCCATTTTGATATCCTTGTACAAAGATCTGACGAAAAAAAGAAAAATTATGCTTAAAGTATGAAGCGATAAAACGTTATATTTCATAGATATCAGCAAAAGTCATTCAACACGAGCTTTTACATGAAAAATTACTCATCAATTTACTAATCTATCTATCATAGATTTATTTCTTTCGATGCAATACATCATATCTATTGTTAATGTTGAATCATTTTTGAACTAGATAAATCAAATATTTCAATGACCACGTACCTAAAAATATCGATGCAAAGATCATCTAGGATAGGTTTGCTTATGTCTTCATTATTGAGAAGACAAATCAAGAGTGAGTAGCTCCATTTTTCTCCAAGACTAGACCAGGCGTTTGGTAAAGGAATTAAATCTGAAGGGTTCTGTTGGGAAAAATATTGACAGAATAAAAAATGGATTAGCCTACAAGAATCAATTTCATTGTTGAAAAGACAGAAAATATTGAAATATGAGTGAAAAGATTCAAATGCGCATCTCACATGAATATTTTAGCCTTGATTTAATTTTTTGCTTTTTCATTTATTTATCCTTTCAAAGAATGAAATAACCTCCCTCAAATAATAACCACCAAAGCAGTTATCATTGTGTGTACCGGTTAGATGAGTGTAGGTGCAATGTTGAATACATGACAGTAGAAGAACAAAAAAAATGATACAAAAAAAAGAGAGCATAAGAATCTTGAGAAAGGAAAGAACTGGATTGTCTTCCGCATACATGAGCTGTTTAAATGTGGCTACCTTTTTTCTAACTATTTTAATTCTTTTCCTTTCTCTCGCTTCGTAATCAACAAAGCTAACATTTAACAATACTTGTTCTCAGATAATCACTTTGATCTAATTATGCAAGCAATGTCAACACAAAAGCAAAACATTGCCTGAAAAAGAGAAACCTGTTCTTATATTAATCTCGACCTTTAATACTTCATATCGTTTCCTCTAGTTAACTAATTCTCTTTCTTCTCTCTCCCTTTCCATTTTTGTTCAGCTTCATAAAACAAAACACAAAAAAGTATAAATTAATACTAATTAGAGATGAGCATTGAATCAATTCAAAGTCTTTTCGTATTTTATTGCGAAAAGGACATGGTGCGAATATACCCGAATAACTTACCCCTAAACAAAGGACTAAAGCTTTGTAGACGAACTCTTTGGAATATACCATGAAATATGCTTCACGACGACGTCTACTTCTACTTCCAGAGTTGCTACTAATGATTGTTCCACCAGACGAAGTTAACTTTTCATTTAAAGCTTTCATGGCATTGGCATTGGCAAGGTAACTTTGTCCACTTGAATCAGCTCCAAATAACCAAGAGTCTAAACGACGGTTAAGTGATATATCTCGCCTTAAAAGGACGGTTATCGCTGCAGTTGTAATACTGATCATGTCGGAATTGCTAATCTGTTGATTGTGCATTGGAAAACAATCTAGAAGAAGGTCGAGCACAGCTCGTTGCACAAGAACATTTTGATCCAGTAGGGATGCACATAGACCGTGAAGAAAGGTGGTTAAGCTCGTACCCTTAATATAAAGTTGCTCTTCTAAACTTTTCTTTTTCACAAAATGAGAAGTAATAAATGAAATGGCAGGTAAACGGACACTGGAGTCGATCAGAATAACTCTCCAGAGAGCACCATAGAAAAAATGTTTACCAACGCCTTCACACACTTTCTTGAGAAGATTATCTGTTGTTGTATAATGATCAGAACCTTCTTCCAATCCAGGTAAAGAAGCAATAAGAAATCCATCAAGAGCAGGTTTTAATTTATCTCCCAGAGTAACAAAATGATTCTCATAGATTTTTATAAGCTCAGGTTTAACGTTGATAGAGGCTTGACTTAATAGGGGAAACAATCCATTGCTGTAGATACTTAATTCTTGGACCAATCTATCGGGTCCAATTATTTTAAAGATGAGATCATATGTCTCCAACGCTTTTAGATGTACTCCACTTGGAAGCTCTGGATGCATACATTGAGCTAACCGTTGTCCAACCAACAGTCTTGCTGGGATGAATCCAAACTTAACATTATTTTCTAGGACCTATGTACGAGCACAGTAATATTATTGGATAATTGGTATTAGATTAAATAATTAACAAAAAGATTTTAAGCAAGGATAAACTAATATAATCATACCTTGATTAACCTTGAGAGAGCATAAACAAGATCAGGCCAACGACTGGTTCCTTCGAAAGCTTTCAAAGCTTTGTCAATATTTTGAGCGAAACTTCTGTATTTGGGATCATTGATTAACTCTCTTTCCTCGTGAAACACATTTTTCGACATCATTTAATCAACAACAACTTGAATGATGAGCAATCTAAACCCAATACTAATAAAAGACGTGGTAAGAAGAATGTAGACAGGATAAGAGAGAAAGGGGATACAAGACAGACAGAGAGTAAATCTGTGAAGAAATTGACAGAGAACTAAACAAAAGACAAGAAAGATAAACAAAAGAGATGAGACAGAAGGGACCCAAGGAGAAGGACTAAGTAGAAATAAACAAACAAAAAGCCAAAAAGAGATTAACAGTTCAATAGAGAGATAAATTGGAATCAAGGCAAAATGATAAATAAAAAAAGAGATAGGTTTGAATACAGGAAAAACAAAGTATCAATTGTTGTAAATAAAGATGTTGATGTAAGTTGTGATGATGAACAAAATAAAATAAACAAAGGGCTAAGTCGTTGGATAATTAATCAGTTAAATAATTAGTAAAATAGTTTTCATCATTGAACAGATTCATGGTTAATTGTGGTGAGTTTAACAGAAAAATGGCTAGAAAACAGTTTATTGAGAAGAGTATCAGATAGTTTAGAGTACTTGATACCAGGTGAGAGATATCTACAATTATCTGATGTAAGATTACAAAATTATTGTAATTGTTGGCAATTAAATTGTTTGAAAGTTTTACGATATGGACCATACTTCAGATCTTGATTAAACTTAACCCATAGAATCCCCGAATTCTGAAAATGTTTCAAAAAGATTTTCAACTTCGACAATTGAAGTTAAAAACCAAGACGAAACATTATTCAAAATGTTGCGCTAAACCAGTAGAGGGCACACTTGAACAAGCTGAAAGATTGAAAAACATATGACTCCAAAATTTTTTGATTGAATGTTGTTTGTTTTTTTTGTATTAATTTATTATATTGTGACCCGAAAGAAAATTGATTAAATATGGAACTTGAAGCTATAAGTAACCCTATTGCTCCAGCCCACCTGGACACTGGTTCAACACAATCCAACAGGGATGCTCATCCTTTAACCAATGATGATTTCAGAAAGCTTTTGATGACTCCTAGGGCCGGCTCTTCTGGATCAGCGTCTGTTCGTTCCGATGTCCATGCCTCCGTTAGAAGTGGTCGTAAAACGACATTAGTTTCTGACAATGAAAACCGTAACAAGAAAAAGAAATTTTATGCCGCTTCAAAGAAGCAAGAAGAGGGTGTTTTATCAGAATTATCCAAGAAATATCGTGATCGAGCAAAAGAGCGGCGAGATGGAGCTAACCCGGATTACCAAAATGAGGATCCTGTAAAATCAATGGAAGCTTATCGAGCTGTTGCCCCTGATTTTAAATCCACTTTCGATGCTGCTGAAAGACGTAAACGAATGATTGAAGAATCTAAATTCTTAGGAGGTGATATTAAACATACTCATCTTGTAAAAGGTCTTGATTATGCCTTACTTCATAAAGTTAAAGCTGAATTGGTAGAAAAAGATGATGACAATGATGACGAAGAAGAGGAGAAAATACGAGGAAGACATAGAAGGTCATCAGAATCTGATAGTAAAGAAGATTTCATGCCAAAATCAACAATGGCGACTAATATTCTTGCTTTGTTAAAAGAGGAAAAGTTGAGCAATGAACGAAATGAACTATTTCTTCCGGGTAGAATGGCTTACACGATTGATCTGGAAGATCCCTTCATCGATGATATCCCCACTACAATTATACGTAGCAAAGCAGACTGTCCTAACACAGATAGTCTTTCTGAACTCAGCATTAATAATATAGTCATCAACAAATTGATTCAAATTACAAATTACTTACGACAAGGTGGAGCACCGAGGAAAAAAAGAAAGATCGATCTATCGACTTTAACGATCTTATCAAGACTGGTTGAGCAAAATTAAATATATTTAATGATGATTGAAAAATTGAAACCTTCCTTATTCTGGGTTGAAAGACATCTTAATCAACAATTGTAATAATCAATACAAGTTGTAATAATCGAATGAATGTACCAATGAATGTAACCTAAAAATTTGATCACATTACATCTTGGATTTTAGGAGCACTGAACACTACTTGTATTGTTGTTGTATTATCATTAGTTTTATCATGAAACATTGCCAATTTGTTGATGGTGTTGGTCTTGTATCACCGAGCCTGACTCTACTAAATTACATGCTTTTTCCAAGAGATCATAAAGCCTTTGCCAAAGATAATCCAATTTCAAATTGCTTAATAATAAATTACAAGTTCTGACCATATCTGAGCTACACTTTTCCATTTTGATATCCTTGTACAAAGATCTGATGAAAAAAAAAGAAAAATTATGTTTAAGTATGAAGCGATAAAACGTTATATTTCATAGATATCAGCAAAAGTCATTCAACACGAGCTTTTACATTTGCATTTGCATGTGCTAGGTGTGATTTGCTATCTGCATTTTTCTCCAAGACTAGACCAGGCGTTTGGTAAAGGAATTAAATCTGAAGGGTTCTGTTGGGAAAAATATTGACAGAATGAAAAAATGGATTAGCCTACAAGAATCAATTTCATTGTTGAAAAGACAGAAAATATTGAAATATGAGTGAAAAGATTCAAACGCGCATCTCACATGAATATTTTAGCCTTGATTTGATTTTTTGCTTTTTCATTTATTTATCCTTTCAAAGAATGAAATAACCTCCCTCAAATAATAACCAACAAAGCAGTTATCATTGTGCGTACCGGTTAGATGAGTGTGTACCCCTACACAAAGGACTAAAGTTTTGTAGACGAACTCTTTGGAATATACCATGAAATAAGCTTCACGACGACGTCTACTTCTACTTCCAGAGTTGCTACTAATGATTGTTCCACCAGACGAAGTTAACTTTTCATTTAAAGCTTTCATGGCATTGGCATTGGCAAGGTAACTTTGTCCACTTGAATCAGCTCCAAATAACCAAGAGTCTAAACGACGGTTAAGTGATATATCTCGCCTTAAAAGGACGGTTATCGCTGCAGTTGTAATACTGATCATGTCGGAATTGCTAATCTGTTGATTGTGCATTGGAAAACAATCTAGAAGAAGGTCGAGCACAGCTCGTTGCACAAGAACATTTTGATCCAGTAGGGATGCACATAGACCGTGAAGAAAGGTGGTTAAGCTCGTACCCTTAATATAAAGTTGCTCTTCTAAACTTTTCTTTTTCACAAAATGAGAAGTAATGAATGAAATGGCAGGTAAACGGACACTGGAGTCGATCAGAATAACTCTCCAGAGAGCACCATAGAAAAAATGTTTACCAACGCCTTCACACACTTTTTTGAGAAGATTATCTGTTGTTGTATAATGATCAGAACCTTCTTCCAATCCAGGTAAAGAAGCAATAAGAAATCCATCAAGAGCAGGTTTTAATTTATCTCCCAGAGTAACAAAATGATTCTCATAGATTTTTATAAGCTCAGGTTTAACGTTGATAGAGGCTTGACTTAATAGGGGAAACAATCCATTGCTGTAGATACTTAATTCTTGGACCAATCTATCGGGTCCAATTATTTTAAAGATGAGATCATATGTCTCCAACGCTTTTAGATGTACTCCACTTGGAAGCTCTGGGTGCATACATTGAGCTAACCGTTGTCCAACCAACAGTCTTGCTGGGATGAATCCAAACTTAACATTATTTTCTAGGACCTATGTACAAGCACAGTAATATTATTGGATAATTGGTATTAGATTGTATAAGTAACAAAAAAGATTTTAAGCAAGGATAAACTAATAAAATCATACCTTGATTAACCTTGAGAGAGCATAAACAAGATCAGGCCACTGGAACACTGGAATACTAGGGCACTGGAATAAAATTAACCCATAGAATCCCCAAATTCTGAAAATGTTTCAAAAAAATTTCAACTTCGACAATTAAAGTTGAAAAACCAAGACGAAATATTATTCAAAATGTTGCGCTGCACCAAAAGAGGGCACACTTGAACAAGCTGAAAGATTGAAAAACATATGACTCCAAAATTTTTTGATTTAATGTTGTTTGTTTTTTTTTGTATTAATTTATTAATATTGTGATCCTGATGATAATTGATTGATTATGGAACTCGAAGCTATAAGTAACCCTATTGCTCCAGCCCACCTGGACACTGGTTCAACACAATCCAACAGGGATGCTCATCCTTTAACCAATGATGATTTCAGAAAGCTTTTGATGACTCCTAGGGCCGGCTCTTCTGGATCAGCGTCTGTTCGTTCCGATGTCCATGCCTCCGTTAGAAGTGGTCGTAAAACGACATTAGTTTCTGACAATGAAAATCGTAAGAAAAAAAAGAAATTTTATGCCGCTTTAAAGAAGCAAGAAGAGGATGTTTTATCAAAATTATCTGAGAAATATCGTGATCGAGCAAAAGAGCGGCGAGATGGAGCTAACCCAGATTACCAAAATGAAGATCCTGTAACATCAATGGCAGCTTATCGTGCTGTTGCTCCTGATTCCAAATCCACTTTCGATGCTGCTGAAAGACGTAAACGAATGATTGAAGAATCAAAATTCTTAGGAGGTGATATGAAACATACTCATCTTGTCAAAGGTCTTGATTATGCTTTACTCCATAAAGTTAAAGCTGAATTGGTAGAAAACGATGATGAAGATGACGAAGAAGAGTTGGATGATAAAGCATTCGAAGACAAAATACGAGGAAGGAATAGAAGATCATCAGAATCTGATACTAAAGAAGAAGATTTTATGCCAAAATCAACAATGGCTGCTAATATTCTTGCTTTGTTAAAAGAGGAAAAGTTAAGCAATCGAAACGAACTATTTCTTCCGGGTAGAATGGCTTACACGATTGATCTGGAAGATCCCTTTATCGATGATATACCCACTACAATTATACGTAGCAAAGCAGACTGTCCTAACTCAGATAGTCTATCTCAACTCAGCACTAATAATATAGTCATCAACAAATTAATTCAAATTATATCTTATCTACGGCAAGGTGGAGTTCCAAGGAAAAAGAAGAAAGATAAAGTGGCTCCAGGAGATGACTTGAACGTTAAAGTTAAACAAGAAAAAAAGAGACCCGATTTCGACGACAGTATTTATGGAGATATTGGTGATTATGTCCCTTCTATTGAAAAGAAGTCTACAAGTAAACGAAAAGATGACAGGAGTAATAGTGACCATCATGATCATCGCAATGATAGTAAACATTCTTACTTTAACAAACGTGACGCAAATGAAGAATCTAAAGACCTTTCATACGAATCAAAAGATCATAAATCTAGTCTATCTGTTGCTATGGCTGCTGCAACATCTGTATTGGAATCCAAACATATTAGTAGATTTAGCTCTAAACTCGATCAAGAGACAGTTGAGAGCTACGCTGAATGTTATCCAGGAGCACCAGAAAATGATGATGCCATATTGGACAGTGATGATGAAGTTGATTTCTCTAAAATGGATGTTGGAAGTAAAAAATCTACTGTTGGTCGTTGGGATTTTGATACGCAAGAAGAATATGGTGAATACATGAGTAAAAAAGAAGCCTTGCCTAAAGCTGCTTTCCAATATGGAGTAAAAATGGCAGATGGAAGAAAGACTAGACGAATTCCAACCAAGAAAGATGAAAAGGCTAAAATTGATCGCGATTTGCAAAAAATTAATGCTATCTTGTCAAAACGAAAACCAGCCGAGTCTGGCGAAGCCTCAAGTTCAGGAGCTATTACACCGAGAGTTTCACGAGATCATAAAAGGATAAAGCATATTTGATTTATTATTTGTATCTCATCTGTATATTTCTTCCCTCAAACTCACTCTATTCATTTGAGTTTATTAGGTCCAATGTTTATATCATCTTCATTAATCTTCTCATTAAAACACCTTGTAGACTTAAATTAACAGTAAATTGCTGTCAGTCTATCAATTAAATGGCGGGCAAAATTTGATAATCAATCAGTATTTATTCTTTCAACTTATTTAATCTATTTAGTCTCCAATTATAAAGTTTTATTGTTTAATTACATATCTTCACCTTTAAGATATTCTGTTTGTCCTTTTGGATGGTCAGCTTAAACCTAAAAATAACCTAACCTAACCAGCTTCTATTGAATCCATTCAGGACGACATTAAATCAAGCTCTAACCTGTGGACAGTTGATTGTATCTCGAGGCTTCAAATATGAACGTCACTTTGTTACAACAGAAGATGATTACATGCTTCAATTGTCTCATACTGACCTTTGGTGATCGGGCATATGAATATAAATTTTCTGTTATTGTGGACATAATGCGAGATTTCTTTAGCCAAACTAAACAAAATACTGTAAACACTTTATGATAGCAAATTTGACTAGTACTGTTAAAAGAATGATCATTCAATTGAATAAAATTTAAAAATATTTAGTGAAGTTACAGCGAACATTTAACTTCGGATTTTACCCATCAATATTTACAAATTTGTTGCTGTAAATGAACAGAGAAAATTGCCCCAAAAATCTTTATCAATAGCTTTCTGCAAATGAATCCTGCAAAAAAGAAACAACTAGATTTACAAAGCTTTCATTAAAACACAAACATTTACGTCTCAAAGCGGAACTTTTAATTTACTCGTGTATTTTTGCAAAAACAAGATGAATATTTGTATTTAATACTGAAGTGGAAAAATGAGGTGTTCAGTTTTCGCATGATCAGCAAATATTCAAATTTATACAATAAAATGTTCTGTAAATAAATAATTACAAGGGCATGTTTGTATGATATGTAATTCAATCAACTAATGGTTGGATTGGTAGAGAAGAATCACTATAAGTTTCTCCGTCGATAAAATGGGTTCTACCTTGTTGCAGTTATTCCATCTCAGCATCATTCCAAGTTTCCTTTTAAGTTTACTTCTTTCTTCAAATTATTTAAATGTTTCTTCTCAAAACTTGCCTCCACCAGAGAATCCAAATTTTGAACAGGAACAACTTATATTAAATCCATTCAAGACAACATTAAATCAAGGTCTAACCTGTGGACAGTTGATTGTATCTCGAGGCTTCAAATACGAACGTCACTTTGTTACAACAGAAGATGGTTATATACTTCAATTGTATCGAATCATAAATCAATATGCCCAAGCAGCTCGAGGACGGAACCTCAAGCCAATTCTAGTTCTTCACGGTGGCTTCACGTCATGTAGTAGCTTCATGATTAATGGTCATGGTGGTCAGATAAAGGAATGGGTCAATGGTAATCCTCCTCATGATACATCGAAAAGTCTTGCTCTTGCTTTGGCTAATCGTGAGTTTGATGTTTGGCTGGGAAATGTGCGAAGAAACGTAAATTCGTTGAATCACACTCGACTTGATCCACATAGGGGTAAAAATTTCAATTTAATCTAATTTCAACTAATCTTTCAGCCATAGGACTCTCTATTGTCTTTTGGAATCCTTCGTTGACAAAAATCTCATCTCGTTCTTCATATCGATCCTTTGCTAAAGGTTTTAGATTTTCTTCAATGTAATTGTACATTCATGTATCTTTCTGTGCACTGGTTATTTAGTTAAAATTTAAGGCTAACCTTACAAGATATATCATCTTCATTAAGTTTCTCATTAAAACACCTTGTAGACCTGACAATATGACTTGATAATTAATTTATTTCGTTTATTCCGCCTTCAAGTGATTAAATTACATTTATAAATCAACTATAGACAGCAGCACCTGTAATGAGCTATTAGCAGAAGTAAATACAAGTTTCTTTTAAATTGTTCACTCTTAGTTTGTCGAAGTTCAATTCCAACAACTTTAATTGCTCATATTGTTCAACTTAATAAGTCAACTCTAATAGCTACCACCGCTGATGTAATTCTAAGGTCAATTATTGTCTAATAGGCGTGAATGAACCTTGATTGCATTTTATTCGACAATTGACTAATCAAGAGAAAGTTAGCTTGCAACATTTTCATCATTGTCGTTATTATTGTACAAACATCTAAATGTACATTGAAATAATCTTTTTCACTCCAAGAGTTGTAACAAAATAATTAAATTATCAACCGTTAAACTAGACGATTATTTCGATGGACCAGCAAAGTATCAACTTCTGAGAATCCAATGGTTATTTAACATCCATTTTGTGGCCTCTTGAGGTTTACAGAGATTTGCATTTCCAGTTGAACCCTTGGGTTTACCTTTGGTCATTCATTAACTCCGTCAATTAGATGGAAAGGCTTAGCCTAATGGTTATACAGTTGAAAGTGGTATGCAGGTTTGACTATATTGTAATTTAAATTTGACGTTAAACGCTTGGCCGGTCACTAATAATCAAGAAGAGAGACAAAAACACCAACAAAAGGTAACTGAATCCATTTAAAGGAAGGATGAAAACTTCTTAAATGTCAAGGTTTGACCTTTATCCAAGTTTCTTTTTCATTTCATTTTAGGTTCTTCTTTCTGTCGACATCAAGCTAAGCTTGACTGAAATCACTTGAAGAGAAAACTAAATTTGTTTCTTTAAATTGTTACTGTTAGCTAACATTACTTACAAAGTAGACACCAAACAATGAACTGGTTTACCTAGGTTAACTCTATTAATGACAATACGTTTGGGTAAGTATAGTGTATAGTAAAAGTGCTTGTAATAATAGATAATGGTTAACCCAAAGTTAGACACCAATTCTTCATTATCAAATTAAATGTAATAGGATAATTTGTATTATTGTATTTTATGATGAACCAAATTGTTAGCGAATCTCTTCAATTGTATTTCTCTATCGTTCAGATTAAACTGTTTAAATCAGCTTTTTTCATCCAAACTGCTACAAGTTATTAAGTTAACCTAAAGCTTCAACTGATCAAGTTGTGATGTTAAAGGCATCCTCATTCATCAAGCTCGATCATTATCACAACTATCTTTTGATTACATTTATCCAGGTATAAATTGTTCAAAATTAATTTACACTCAATTTTTTTTGTCTTCCAATCCAGGATCCAATGTTCACAGCTGATTGTAAAATGGATTGAAATCAATTGGGTTGCTATAAATAATGTTACTCATTGATGGTTCACTCAATTAAATGTCAATTTGGACTTGCATCTTCATCAACACCAACACCAGTAAATCTCGATAAAATCCTGATCATTATTGATTCCAAGTTACCATTATTGCGTTGGTTTTTGCTTGGCTACAAATTGAAAACAAAAGCGTTGCTATTATTTTTGCTGCTCTCGTATTTTCATTGAAAAGTCAATCCACACTAATACCAGATTAATTATTTAAGCGTCGATTGTGGTTCAACATGTTATACAACCTTGTCCAGCATTATTATCACAAATTGTCTATTGATTCAATTGAATGGCCACAAATTTCTGTATGTGAGTTTCAACTGCACGATTCAAGGCTGTTGTCATTGACATTAAAAAATATAATGACAATGATAAATTTACCAATCGATTTTGATTGTGTGAAAGATTTCAATTTCTTGGTTTACATACAGTTGATTATTATTATGTGATAGTTAAGAAATAATGAAACCAGTTGACAGTTTCCTATGAAACTGGTATGATGGAGGCTTGGACGCTGGATGATTTATAACAAGGCTGTCAATTAATTTCCCTTGAACCCAACAACGGCCAGGATTAAATTTTTACACACTGAATGTTATCAAATAATCAGATGGTTTGTAATAATTGTCAAGCCATTATTAAACACAAAGGCCATCTGAAAGGGCAACAACATAATGTGAACAGATGAAATAATCAAAGGAAACCCGGAAGAAAATCATTCCATTGGATTAAACAGTTATACTGAAATTTAAAATTTAAAACAAAGTGAATGCAAATATAAATGATAATGATAATGATCTTATTATAACAAGACTGGTTGAGCAAAATTAAATATATTTAATGATGATTGAAAAATTGAAACCTTCCTTATTCTGGGTTGAAAGACATCTTAATCAACAATTGTAACAATCAATACAAGTTGTAATAATCGAATGAATGTAACAATGAATGTAACCTAAAAATTTGATCACATTACGTCTTGAATTTTAGGAGCACTGAACACTACTTGTATTGTTGTTGTATTATCATTAATTTTAACATGAAACATTGCCAATTTGTTGATGGTGTTGATCTTGTTTCAGGTTTAACACATAATCAGCTAAACATATAGTCAAAAATAGGAAAGTAACAACAACAAACAAAATGTAATTCAATCTATGAACAGTTTAACACATTAAATGCTTGTTTTTGTAATTTGTTTTGTTTTCCAGCCTCTCCAATATTTTTATTTATTAATGTTTCAACTTGCAATTGTCTACTAAATTATAATTGTTCAATTTATGAACTAAAATGTTGTTACATGATGTATGTCACTTGATTGAGTTGATCACTTAAGTTTAACATTCATTTTTTTATGCTTAAACATCAATTAATTTATTGTCTCAATCTAAAGTAAGTTAATTGTTCTCTATCTTTTTACTTCTTCTTCTTCTTCCAATCTTTTGTTGAGGAATCGGCTTAGACGTGGCCTCATCATAATTATCAACAGTAACATCAACTTCTACTAAAATCTTCTTTCTCTTCTCTTTCTCACGGTCTTTCTTTATCTTCCTTGTCTCTCTCTTTTTTTCATCTGCTTTCTTCCATTTCTTTCTCCTTCTCCCGCTTTGGTTTTGCTTTGGTTGCTTAGTGCAGTTTTGTTGGCTTTTTAGTTGCTGGAGTTAGGTTAAACTTTTGTTGATGATTTTTTGGTAAAACAACTTTAAATCTTATTTTACTGTAATATACATATTTTCATAATGTCTTAGTTTGTGTTTATTTATTTCACATTTGGATAATTATCTTTAATAACTGGATTGTCTATTTTATCAATCTTCATTCCAATCAAGTAAGCTTTCCATTTCAACTCTTATTCATCTCTTATTCAACGACTTTTCTCTTTTCTTCAACAACACACTTCTCTTCTGTGGCCTTCTTGGCAAATTCAAATTATGTTTACAACCGACTTGTGTGGTTTCCTTTGTGAAATTTATGCTTATTATCAACTTATTTTCCGCTTATTTTGTTGTGTTTCTCATCCTGATTTAGTATTCCTCATTTCCTCCTATCTGTACCTGTTTGTTTAGTTTTTATTGTCAAATCATTTTTCATTTTTAAAGCTTTGTTTTAAATCTACAATAGGCATCTTCCGTAGAGTTAAATTTTGCCGTCCTTTTCTGCCAGATACTTTCATATCACGGTTTTAACAGTTTGTCTATTTTGAAGTCAGACGTTCTTGCTGAATCCTGCCAACAAAGCGCCCGTCTTTTAAGGAAGTTAGTCTACTGAAAATCTTCTCTATCTTCTCACTTCATGCTTTAAACTATAACTACAACTTTGACTTTGTTTGATTAATTTATTGTGGTTCTTTTTATTTCTTCTTTAGATCTCATGATTACTATTTGTGGCCAGACTTTAATATCATCATCTTCAGCTGATTGCCAGCCATTAAGCTACTCAAATTTGCGAAAAACAGGTCTGTTTGTCATTTGGCCCTGTTTTACGAGAACGGGTGATGGTTGCAAACGAAATGGATTATGAAAGTGACTTGGATACTCATAAACGCCGTGAATCGTGTTGTTCCAATTGTGAATCCCAAATTTTTTGTTCTTATGTTATCAGTATATTGTCTTCATCGTTGATTGCCGGAGGAATTTACCTGGCCATTTTGAAATGGGATCATCTTTGGTTAATCTTACCAATTGTTGGCTGTATTCTCATTTTCATTGGAGCTTGTATGTACTACTCGGGTCAGATGGATCTTAAAAGAAGACGTAATCACAAAGCTAGCTCAGCCTCTCATGTCTCTGGTCGACGACGAATAAAACGAGGAAATAAAGACAGAAGCTATGGAGATAATTTAATTTCTTCTACTCTTGGGGATGGTCGATCATTAAGCCAACTTTCTATAAATATGATTCCTCAATATTTTGCTAATTCAGATCTCCCCGGATCAACGGGACCAGCATCTATGCCATATAGTCAAATCTTTAGAGTAAATGGTCAAAGCTTTTTGATTCTTCCCCTTAATGGAGAAACGTCGACAAATCCTAACGAAACTGCCATTTCATTGCAAAATCTCATGGTTAAGGTGCCTTGTAAAAATGATCAACAAAGGTAAAAATTAGCAGAAAAAATTCTTCTCATTCTACAAATTTATATTATATTGTATTTTAATTTCTTTTTCGTTACTTTTCTTATAGTAAACCAGAAAGCTCGGATATTTACAAAAAGATGGAGGATTTTACTAAAAGATTTGTTGATCACAAAATTTATGCTTCAACCGAAGGAAGTTTGCCTTCTTCATCAGTCTCTCATGACGGACGTTTAATTGGTCTTGACAACCGAGCAACTGGAGTAGCTACAGGCTTACCTAGAGATGCTGCGCCTGGATCTCACAGTGAATCTCATTTCACCTCCAACTACTTCTGTGCTCCAAGTACCTCGACTTCATTCAACACATGCCAACCAGAAGCCCAAACATCAAGGGTTAATAATTGTAACTTAAGGGTGGATCCTGGTAGTATCGGGTCTACTAATACAAATCAACCTTCATCATATATCCAACAATCCCTGCCAACATCATCTACATCATCAACGTCATCATCCTCTGGTCCATCATCATCTTCAAGAAGACCACTTCTTAGGCGTGATACTTTCAACAAAGGTAAACCTTCAGTGACAATTGTTAGTACAACCAATTCAGCTGATCCAGTTCATGCTCAAACCACCGCTATCACCAAACCAAGTACATCGTCTTCTGTAAACAATCGTTCCGACAACTGCAGTTCTGCCTCTAATTCCCTCCGGTTACATTCATCTCAACCTGGTTCAGCGGGTTCAAGTGTTTATCCTCAAACGGCAGCAGAAGGTTTAGTGATTACTCAGTCAAATCTCTCATCAACCCCTAACATCACTCCTTCATCTGCTACTGTAACAATAAATTCACCAAACTCAACTACATCCGCCGGTTCTGATCGTCAACGTGCGATGGATCAATGTAATAATCCAGATGAAACTTTCATTACAATGTGTGGAGGAAATGGAAGCGATGTAGATAATTTGACATTTGACGAAACTCTAATTGAAACAGGAAGTGCAACTCCACCGCCAAGTTACGAAGAAGTATTATCCGTCGATATTACTGGACCTGGTGCTGAACTAATGCCTAGTTCCTCAAATTTCGATACTCTTTGAAAAGATTAAAAAGCTTTAATTCAGCTGTCATCAACAAACGTCCTTATCACGAGAAACACATTCATTTTTCTACTTTCATAAACTTTCGTTGTTTCCAGATTGGTTTTTCATTGAAAGAAATGTATTCATTTGTACGTAATTAAAAGAGTTTAATACTTTAGATATTAAACAATTGAACTTCATTTTTTTAATTGGTATCCAAAATTGAATGAACTTTGCTATTGCTCACATAAAATGAAAATGAGGCGAATTTTCCTCATAACAACTATCTGTTTGTTCATTTAGTTTTCACGATTCTTTAACTGAACCGTCATGTTGATTTAATTTTAATTTAATCAAATAAATTCATAAATAGACCTTGAAACTTCAAAATTTACTCCCTTGGTAACTGGTAATCCACGCTCAAGCTATATGACAGTGTAAACACAATTTAACAGCTGACTGACAATTTTAGTTTGCATTGCAACAATTTTTGTCTATTTAATGTATCAAAAAAGAATTTGATTAATTTCAACTCATCTAGTTACAATTTTTAGGTGTTTTTATCCTCTAATTAACAGTGAAAATGCTAATTAGTTCAATTATTCCATCCAAAATACTTAGGATTACATCTTGTATGCCGTTATCGTACTTGAATCGGCTCTTAACTACGGTAAGTTTTCTTCCTTTTTCATTTATAATACTTCGATTTTTAATTGTCTCAGCTATGAATTTTGATTACAGGGTTCAGATCAAACTCAACAGTCTCAAAATGATTCCCCAGTCTCTGTAAAAAAGTTTTCAATCGATCAAATTAAGTTTTATCAAGAAAATGGTTTTTTTCTGGTTAAAGGCCTAATACCAACGGATAATATTTCATCTTATGTGTAAGCTATTTTCAGTTTTATATGAATTATAATTGCCATTCTAATTTATTTTTTTTATTTCATAGTCAAAGGTTCAATGATATTGCTAATGGTGTTGTCACTGTACCAGGTTTAGTGCGTCAAAAGGACATATCTTTGAAAAATGAGAAACCCAGTGAAAGGAGCGTTTATAAACTTCAAGAATTATTTATGGACGATAAGCTTTTTGAATATTGCCAATACTCTACAATCCTTGATTATGTCCAAGATATTATTGGACCCAATATTATGGCAATCCATACAATGTTGATTAACAAGCCACCAGATACTGGTGAATTAACTTCTCGACATCCATTACATCAAGATCTTCATTACTTCCCAATTAGACCAGCTGACAAAATTGTTTGTGCATGGACCGCATTGGATCGATCATTTCGGGACAACGGATGTCTAGTTGTCCTACCAAAGTCACACAAAGGACCTTTACTTGAACATGACTATCCAGATTGGCAGGTAAATCATAATACTTCATCAAATCTCTGCTTGATTAGGTTTGACTTATTTTTCAGTTTCAATTGACAGTTTCAGTTCAGAGTTATTTTCAAGTGAACATCTTTCAATTCTTTCACTGTTTAATTATCTTGTGAAAAATCTTATCATTTGTTTCATCTATTCCTTTAATTAGCTTTAGTCAGATTCACAGTAGGAAATTTGGCTTGGCATCATTTTTCATTCAATTAAATACATGACAATGTATTATGTATGGATTTACTTTATCAGAGAAGAGAGAATCGATTTTTTGTCATTACTATTGCCAGAGAAAAACTATTAGAATTATTTTCAAGCTTCCTTAATGATGTTTTTTTGTTATTTAAATTTGCAAACTAGTAACCAATAATTGATTAACATTGTCTTTTTTCCCTCTTTCAGGCTGTTAATGCTATGTACCATGGAGTTAAGATGAAACCTCCTGAAGATCGATTCTATGTTGAAATGGATCCTGGAGATACACTATTTTTTCATCCTTTACTAATACATGGATCTGGAGCCAATCGAACCACTGGATTTCGTAAAGCGATCTCTTGTCATTACGCATCATCAGATTGCCATTACATCAATATTAAGGGAACATCGCAAGAAAATATTTCCAAAGAGATTATTGAAGTAGCAAAGAAAAAGTTTGGCATCGATGTTGATGATGTTTCGGTATTTTATCATCTTTCAAATCTAAATTTGCAATTCATACTAATTTGATTTCGTTTCAAATTTCAGGTTATTTGGAAATATCGAGCTCAATTGGTCAGAGGTGACAAAATCAACTTATAAATGAAGTTCCATGATGAATTTCTTGCAATTAATTTCTCTGTTTCCATAAATTAGTCAATTTGCCTGATTCTGGTGGACTCATCAAAAGATTTATATTTTTATTAACGATTATTTCAATGATGCCATGCGAAATCAAGAAAAATTTAAACCACAATTTATGCTAAATTTGTTTCCCAAAATAAGCAATCCATTTATTTACATGTATTGTAATTACTCAAAGGACGAATGACCATTGGACTCAATCAAAGTTGAAGCTTGAAAAAGTTTTCCTTTCTCACGGTCTTTACATTATTTTACATTTTAATTTTTCTATCTTCATTCATTTTCATGTTAACTCGTCTACTATCTTTAATTTCTGTGCTATTCTGGAGTTGATTTGAATTTAATTTAACAATAATAACATTAATTAATTGTCTGTTTCACTCAAAGAGTAATTCATAATTTATTGTTGTAAAGCGCCATCTCGTTTTTATCATTTAAGTTATTTGATAGATGGCGTCTACCAACTTCAAATTGTAATGAAATTGTATACTCAGTGTGTCACAAGTGTTGACTGATTGAGTTGATCATTTTTTTCCTCATTTTTTGCTTAAACATCAATTAATTTTTGTTCTCATTGTGTGATAAACTTATTGTCTATTATCTTCTCTAGTTATTAAACAATCTTGTTGGTGTAAAAGTCTTAGTTTCTGTGTTTCTTTTCTTTTCATTGGAATACGTCACTTTAAGGGTGTGATGAACACATAAAATAAGATGGCCTCCTGTAAGGTAATCCTTCTTGATGGGACCGAGTTTCAATGCAAAGTTAATGTAAGTATTTTTTAGTTTTTAGTTTGCTATTTTTCAATATTCTTTTTGTATTTTCATTTTTTACTAACTGGCAAATTTTTTATTCAGGCTCGGACTAAAGGGATTGAAATATTTGAGCAGGTTTGCGATCATTTAAATCTATTAGAAAGAGACTATTTCGGCTTGTCTTATAAAGACCAAGAAGATACCCGAAATTGGATAGTGTTGGAAAAAAAATTATCTGGCCAGTTGAAAAATTTACATTGGTTGTTGCATTTTGAAGTCAAGTTTTATCCTCCTGATCCATCCCTATTGCAAGAGGACATCACTCGCTACCTTCTCTGCCTTCAAGTTAGAAATGATATTCTTTCTCAAAGATTACCGTGTTCTTTTGTTACATATGCTCTACTTGGATCTTATTTGGTCCAGTCAGAGTTAGGTGATTATGATCCAGAAGACCATGGTCCCGGTTACCTTAGAGAATTTCGATTTGCACCAAATCAAAATGAAGAATTGGAGGAAAAAGTTGCCGAACTACATCAACAACATAAAGGTCAAACCTCTGCAGAAGCGGAGCTTCATTATCTTGACACTGCCAAAAAGTTAGCAATGTACGGTGTTGAACTCCACCCAGCTAGTGATTCTTCTGGTGTATCAATTATGATTGGTGTTTGTGCCTCAGGTCTCTTGGTTTACAAAGATCGGCTCAAAATGAATCGATTTGCTTGGCCTAAAATATTGAAAATATCTTACAGAAGAAATAATTTTTATATTAAAATTCGCCCCGGTGAATTCGAACAATTCGAATCTACTGTTGGATTCAAGTTAGCCAACCATAGAGCAGCTAAAAGACTTTGGACTACTGCTGTAGAGCATCATACATTTTTCAGATTGACCGAAGCCGAGCCTCCACCAAAACCAAAATTATTTTTTCCAAGATTTGGCTCAAAGTTCCGTTACTCTGGTCGTACTCAGCATCAAACTCGCCAATCAATCATTAATCGACCTCAACCACAATTTGAACGAACTTTAAGCAGTAAACGAATATCAACCCGTAGTGTTGATGGAGGTAAGAATCTTTTCATATCTTATTACTCATTGTCCTTCTTTCTGTTATAACAAACTTAATTTGAGAAATCGACTGAGAGCAGGTTTAATTTATCTCAAGTAACAGAGTGATTAACATAAATTTGAATTGAGCATTTTATAGCCAAAAAGAAAATATAATTCAGAATATTCCATCATCAGATTTAAAGGGAAGCTATTATGACATGCAATAATTTTTCCTCCTAATGAAGCTTATTTTTCGGTTAACCAGAAAATAATGGATTATATGAAAAGTTTCAAATAATGCATGAAATTTGCTTCATTATGGAATCTAACAATTGAATTGCTCAGGTACAATAAAAGACTAGAAATGAATGATAATAAACATAGATTTCTTAGGTGTTGGTTTAGTATGCAACTGGATCTTATTTATTATGTTATTAAATTATAAGATGTTTATAAGATTATAAGTTGATTGAAAGGGAAATCATCCTTATCTTACCGTGATGAACCTTGAAAGATAAGGCCAATGACTAGTTTTTCATAAACATTCCTATCGAAAGATTGTATGTTATTAGCATCGTTGATCAACTCTTTCCTTGTGAAACTTTTTTCTTCTCTCGACATGATTTAACCTGAGCTGAAGCGTTTCTCACTTTGTTTTTCAATTGTTCCGCATCTCTATTATTTAACTTCCTTGCTTGCTCTCTTCTCTCTTTTTCTCGATGTTTGCACCTTTCTTCTTCTTCATTATGATGATCATCTTTTTTTGTTTGTCTGCTTTATTATACATTTTCATCAATTATTTCTGCTTCATTCTTTCTCTTATGGATATTCATTTTTCACATCTTTTTTGTTATTACTGTCGATGCACTTTACGTTATGCAACCTATCAACAATTTTTGGTTTTATGTTATTGACTGCCACCATTAATAGCCACTGGCATTAAACGATCTCGAACTGACGAGATTCGTCGAGGTGACAACAATCGCAATACCATTGCAGGTAAAAGAAACAACTATCCACAAAATGACACGCTATCCTTGCCTTGCCCTGTTTTGCCCTTCCTTTTTTATCATCTTTACCTTATTATTTATTTTTTGTTTTTATGCCTATTATGACAAGCTTTTTCTCTCCCTCTCTGCATATTAGTCCTTATTTGATATTCCTAGTGACCAAAAATGTCACGCCCAATTTTATCATCCCATTGTGGCAACTTAAATCATTAAAATAGCCTTTTGTGATGTTTATGGATTTTTTACGGAAATTTCATTTCATTTTTTGTTTTGTTTTTTCTTCTATTTCATTTTTTTCTCTCTCATTTCATTCAATGTATTTATTTTATTAATTTAGGTTCTCGAGCAGACTCAGACAGGTACAGTCGGAATGAAGATAGAGTCCGATCAGCAACAGGGATTTCATCGACAACAGCAACTACTCCAGAAAGTATGAACAACAAAAGTTTTCCAGCTGAAAGTCCCGTACCTGATGATTCATCAATTAAAAAGCATAAAAAACCAATTGGCGGGATTGCTGTTTTACCACCAATGGACATAAAAAAGATAGAAGATGCACGGCGAAGTCCAATTGAACGGCCTAGAAGTAAAAGTCCAGCCACTGGAATAGGCCAAGATTCATCTGGTTACTCTTCAACTCAACGAGCATCACACCTTAATGAAGGAGAGGTTAGTGCTCCTGTTGTTACATTATTTAAAATATTGTTTAAACAGCTTCATTTAATGATATTCAAGCTCACAAAAACTTTATTCAGTAAGGGTTGACTTGAACCACTAATGGTTTAATAACGCATGGTTCCTCCATTGTTTTTGTTTCACAAATCAAATTTTCAATTTCTCGTCTTATCTGTTTAACTACTATAAGCACATTTTTTTCTCGATAGTTTTTTATTTTCTTTGATTTTAATATTTACTTTTTTTTCTGTACTTACCTTTTTCTTCCTTTTACATATTATTTTCTACATTACATCTTGGTTAACTCAATGCATGGTTTTTACGTCAAAAAATCTATCGTTCACCAACTTTATTTTTGGTTGTTTTCCTCGCTTGCACAATTATCTCTTTCTATCCTATTCCTACTTGAATTACTATTTATTCATTTCGCATGGATTGACTGACCTGAACTGCGGGTTATGGTTGTTGAAAACGTGAATGGTTATTATATAAAAAAACAACATCAACAACTTATAGAAGGCCTCTAAGTATGGTCAAGCAGCTGAGCTGAAATCAAGTCAAGCTAACGGCAAAAAAGAGTCTGCTGCCAGTTATTATGGTGGTAGACAGGTTTCAGAAGGAGTCGGAAGAGGGGTTACAAGTTCAGAGAATTACATGTTTAAAGCTGGACCTAATCCTGCTACCAAAGAGTATATTTACACCGTTCATGATGATACAAGCAGTAAAAAGCCTTTCAGAATTGAAGAACACGGTTTTAATTATACAAATATTCGTGATGGTAAAACATCTCCTGCATTTAGCGATGGAACCAGTTCTTTAACTCGCCAGCAAGATGCTGCAAGAAAAGCTACCGCCTTAGCATTTACATATCGACCCGAGTCAACAACTGGGGAAAATTCAATCGATGCTTCACGCCTCAAATCTAGAGATTCAAGGAATAATACTTCAACTTCACCTAGAGAAACATTCTTTACTGAAATCAAACCATCAACTTATACATTGCCAAGTGCAGGTAAAGCAAGTGATATAAAGGAAACTTTTATGAATGAGAAAACTATGAGCAATGAAATATCAAAAAGAGAACAAGTTTATCAGACTAGATTAACAAGTTCGCCTATTCCAGATAAAGTGAAAGAAACCGATTTATCCGGACCTTATGGTAGCACTCGATATAGCAGTTACAACAATCGAACCAACAATTACCAACAACAACAACAACAACAACGAAAAAGTTTCGTTTCAGAATCTCCTTCACCAAAACCTCCTTCAACAACTCCTGATGTTGGCGGTCGTGTATCGCGCAACTCTCGAATCGACTCTTCGGCATCAGAACATGGTTCCTCTGAAAGTAGTCTTGATGAATATGCTGAAGAGGATGGTGTCAATTATATTGGTGATGAGAGTCCAGTCAAAGAATCTGCTATCACTAGATCTACACCTAAAACTACACCAAGTAAACCTCCCATATCCACTAAGCCTACTTTAACTTCCTCTAATCAATCATATCGACCAGGCTCGCTTACTGAGAGCTATAAACTTCGGGATCAAAATAATTATTCCAAGACTAGTACAACACCGCACCTTACATCAACTTCCACTCCATCATCTAAATTATCTAAACCACCTACAACTCCAAGCACTGACGGTAACTATAGCAGCTATTTAACTCCAACCAGTGGAAAGGATATTTCACCGATCTCGTCAGCTCCTCGAATAACCCATGCAAGTAGAAAACGTGTTATAACTAAATCCGACGGTTCTGTTGAAGAAACTGAAGAAGTAGTTGAGCCATCCTCACCATATCATTCACTGACTGCTGCCTCTAAACCTGTAATAGTTGGCGTTGTCCCCACAACAACCACCGCTACCAGCACCACCTCTAACAATAAGCTCAGTTCAATTTATTCGGTATTTTTTGTTTCCATTATATTTTACGTTTATCATTATTCCTTTATTCCTTCACTTAAAACACTTTTTCCTTTTTGTTATTCATCCTTAAAATTACTAATTGCCTGGCGTTACCCTAATATAATCAAACTTAAAAGACTAATGATTAACCTTGACTATTTGTTGAGATGATATCAAGTTATAATGAAGACTTAAAGTTTTCATTGTCACTACAGTAAATATGATTTGCTTCATAATTCACCTTTTGTCTAGAGCATCAAGCAATTCCTTAACTAATGACATTTTTCAACTCTTCTTATTTGTTAGACAATAATAGGTCAAATTATATCATTCATCAATGAGTTTAATAATTTTTTCTGCTCTTCTTTCTTTTCTTTCTTTTCTTTAAACAATTTAGACAAGTGAAGGATCTCGCAAGACACAAAGATCACCTGTTCCTCCTCGGATAAGTGAATCAAGTCGCACTTTAACCTCATCAACAACAACATCAACTACTAGCAACTATAAGACTGGTGAAGAAACTGTCAAAGACACAGAGAAAGGATTAACCACAAAAAAGACTGTCAATGTTACAGAAGAGAAAGAAAAAACTGTCGGAACCAAAATTCATGAAACATCTAAAGTAATAACCGGAAAGCTTGAGGATGTTGCACCGTTACTCCAAGCTGAAGGGTTTGACATTGATACATCTAAATTGAAAATGGGTATCGAACCTGTTCCAATAAAAACTGAAGAGACAAGGAAAGTATCCTACACAACTACTAAAGGACCAAATGTAAGTATTCAATATTCATAACAATGAATTAAGCATAAGTAGGAGTGAGAGGTTGTTAAATGAATGCATAATTTGCCATGATAATGATGAATTTATATTGCTTTAATCACGATTATATTAGGAGTAATACAAGTCTTATTTGAAAAACAGTAGTAAAGGTTTATCTATATTTCATCTTTTTTTATATTTCCTATCAGTTTAAATTATTTGTAGGTTTGTTTTTTGAGAGATTGTTAAACATAAATAATGCCAATAATGATATTAACATTAATTCTGGTAATGATGGAAATAGTAATGAAAAATATTAAGAATTATTTTGCAAGAGGAAATCAATATAAGTCTTGAGAAGCCCTTGAATGTTCTTGGGTTGATAATCTTCCACAATATAATCATTTAATGATTAAACTAGAGCAACATTTTTCAAAGTAAACTTTTCTCTTCTTAAAGCTAAATATTGCTTGTTATTTGTTATTTTATCAATTTATGTCATTATTTTAATCTTTAACTTTATTTCATTTTCTGTTTCCCCTCCTGTCATCACTTAGGTGCCATCAACTACTCCATCTAAACCGAGTCGAACATCACCTTCAACAGCCAATGGTAGTCATGGAGCTACTCGAACCACATCACCTTCACCAAGACCCACCCATGTTGAAAGAGATAACTCAAGAGATGCCGGTGAACCTAATACAGGACTAAGTCAATCTGAGTTAATCTCTTCACAATCTCTCTCTAGTAAAACTAGAACCGTAGAAACTGTTACGGTAAGTAATAAGAAAACCTATCAATCATTTTGCTGCAAATTTTCGTCATTTTCACATTTATATTTATTCTCTTGTCATGAGTCACAATCTTTTCACCCTGGAAATACTTACACGAGTCGTTTCGCCATCGGTTATTTACCTTTTCAGCCAATTTTCAATTCATTGGTTGTCAATAATATACTTTTAAATGGATTGGGAAAGGAAATAAATTTCATTTTTAGTCTACATTAGCTAAATTAATATTGCTTGGAAATGATAATTCAGCATATTTTTATCTCAATCCATTCTTATCCATCATTTTTTGCTATTAATAGCATCAATTGTTGGCCTTTTTTCAATCTACCTCTCATTGTTCAGCTAAAATCTGATTTGACCTTTACCTCTTTCAAAGTAACATGCCGATGCTGTTGGGATAGATTGAAATATTACTACATTATCTTATATTCAAATCGTTTTCTTTACTCACGCATGGTGAACATGTGTGAGTAATATGAAAATACTTGTGTTATAACTTATAACAAGTAAATGAAACAAGAAAACAAGAATACAGCAGATTATTTTCCATTTTATCATTAGTTTTAATCTCAATTTACAAATTGTTTTCTCCTCGTTTTTACTGATAACATCTATTAGTTGCTCTTTTAGCTTTTACCAGCAAACCTAACTGTTTGTGTACAATTTAATTCTTGAATAAATTTCATCTTCAACTATGGTTTCTCAACGAAACACCTACGATGTACAGTTTAAACTAGTGACCCAATTTTATAGCGTTTCAGATGAATAATTTGTAGTTGAAACGTCAAATTGATAATTTTCTAATCAAAGTTGTTTTTAACTCACATAAATACACTTGGTATGGATTGACAAGGTTTTTGTTGAAAATTGACCTCAATGGAACCCTAATTCAAAATTATTGCCGTTGCTCAGTCAATTGAACAAATTGAAAGGAATAGCTGAAAATAAGTGGGCAATCTCAATTTTCTGAATAAACTCAATTATCATCTTACAATCTACTTGAAAGAGCATCAATCCTTTTCAGCTATTTTTTTCGCCTGATGGAGATGAACTTGTTAGGTTATTCAATTGTATTTGTTTAGCTTTCATTAACCAAAGTCTGTATTGATGGTTAAATATAAAAATGTCCATCAAGCTAATTTGAAAATTTTTTACTCTCACAAACTCATCATCATATTGATTGGCTCAATTTTGTTAATCATCCTTGTCTCGTCATTATAATCAATTTCCTTCTGAAAAGTCTATGCACTCATTTACCCTTTTTATTGATCTAAATTTATTTTTCACTTTAATTGACATTTTTTTTCTTCTTCTTTTCAATTTACAGTATAAAATGGAGAAAGATGGTGTTGTTGAAACACGGGTCGAGCAAAAGATAACAATTAAAAGTGATGGAGAGCCAATAGATCATGACAAAGCTCTAGCTGATGCCATTCAAGAAGCAACTATGATGAACCCTGACATGACGGTCGAGAAAATTGAGATCTCTCAACAATCAAGCATCAACTAGCCAATCAATATAAAACAAAAGACATATACCGATCACATCAAAACATTTTTTTCGCCCATTGACTCTGCTATTTAAACTCTTTTAAAATTGAAAAGACAAAAGCATTTTCTTTCCCTTTCCCGCCTCTATCTAATTTGTTATATCTGTTTGTGAACTAGTAACCATCTGATTATTGTGAATTATCATGACTTCTTGGGCCTTCTTCAACACTTTTTCGACTTTATCCCCTTTGTTGTTCAATCATCTTGTAATTCACACTTTTCTTTCTTCCTTTTCCCCTCTTGTTTTTCGCTCTTGATCATTTTTTCCATGCATTTTTTCACAATCACACATACAAACACCAACACCAACTACAAGACAAATTCATTATTATTACGTAAAGAAAGTTAAGCAAGCAATATATATTAAATCTAAAGTAAATTTAAATTACAAATAAATGAAAATTTGCAAATTAATTTATCGTGAAATGCCATTAATTTTAAAACTGAGTTTTTTGCCTGCCAAGAAAATCGACCTGGTTGTGTTAATTATATCCATCTCACAATTATCTTTGTTAGTTGATCTCACATATGTAATAGAAAACATAATTTAAAATTTCTCAAATGAAAGGGAAACATTTTGTGAAATTGTTCAATTCTCATGCATCAAGTCATACCCTCAATTTGCGTGTCTAATTGTTTAATTTCAGATTGGTTGTTTGATTAGAGATTGAACGTTTTCCATGATTTTAATAACTAGCAATCTAAGCCTTTTTTCAGCTTTGTGTCAAGTAATAAATTGTTCAATAATTTGATTATCTAAAAATTAGATCACTTCCTAATCAATGTTAGACGATGGTTAGGGAAACCAAAAGGATATCCTTTGTGGACTATTAATACATTGTACATATATTAATACATTCAATAAATTGAGAAGCTAAAAATGATAGTCTGATGATAACAATAATCGTTTAAATAATTATTGTAATCAAAAACCTGCAACCGTAAGACAAAAAAAGAGAGATTCTGAATGGATATTTCAAGGATAGTCACGAATAGATAAAATTCAAATAAAATCCAAGGCTATGCGTGATAATAAGCAACCCTATTTAAATGCATTAGAAAAGTCTCCTTTTTTTGGATAAAATGTCATCAAAATGTTTATCACTGTTTTTATATGTCTGTCTTGTTTAAATGTTAACCTTGTTGTGTCTTCATATTGGTGTCTTGTTTCCAGTAAATAATTAACCTGTTGTTACTGACAATTTGATGCTACCTTAATTGTAGCATTTGAAGGTGATAATTATCTCATTTTGGTATTGAAAAACGTGTAACTCCAACTGGTTATATTGTTGTATCTGTAATAAAACAAAAAAGAAGAAAATGTAATTGTGATTTATGAGTTACATATTTGAATTCATACCTACCCACGAATTTAGATCAAAATTGTTGAGCAAAAACCTTGCTGATCGACAATTGAATCTTGATTATAACGTTGGTCCCATTGTTTAATACATTGTCATCACTTACACAATGAGAAATAGACAATGACTTCTTGAAAAATCATGGCCATCTTGAGCATAATTCAATTTGTTGGTGTAGAAATTGTTATTCCAATGTTGATGATATACCAATGATGAAAACACTGTAGTAGGATATTTAACTGTTGTAGAGTCAACAAATCAGGCGAAAGTATGAAAAATAGAAATGAAAAGTTCTGTTTATTCAACCAGTTTTTTTGTCAACTTGTTAACAGAAAAAAAATGTACACAAAAGGATAATTGAATTTAATATTGACGCTTACATAGAAGTAATTTGAATATAATTTTGTTTGCTCTATGAAACATTCAACAGGAGAAGAGTAAAATTTTAACCGATTAAATTACCAACATATGGAATCTATTGTTAATTGTTATTTAGTTGTAAATGAAGTTTCAATTTCAACAACTGACTTTACCTGGCATTGAACCAGTTTAACAAAACGCTACAATGAAATACCTCTGCCATCTATTGATCAACTATTCACTTTGTATTGGCCGAATTAACTTTATGTAATTTAAATTAAATTTTCCCAATTTAATTCATATTAATCATAATGGTTTAAAATTATTGTCACATTTAACCATAAAATACACAAAAATGAATTGACATTGAAAGAAATGGCTGAAAATATATTCACAATGAAAATTTGAACCATTGATATTGATTCAAGTTGTTTAAATAAAAATTTTACAACATTGGTTAATATCAAAGAACTTATTTTATTTGAAATTTAACGCAACAGCCAATGTAGATGTTAATTTAATTGATTAAACGCTTGAACATAGTTTGTCGTTAATTCATTTAGACGAAATTAAAGTTGAATAAACTGTACATTTTAAATTCAATTGAACCTTTATTATCTGTCTGTCTGATTGAACCTGTCTGTTGAATGTTAGTAAACCCATTGAAACACATCTGCCATCTATTGATGTAATAGTCACTTACTTCTCGATTTCTGACAAAATAATCAATCAAAGATTTTGATTATTTTTGAAGGAACATCGATATAAATCGTTGGAAAAAAATCGATTATAATCTTCAATTTTATTTAATCACTGGCGCACTAGTTGGAGAAAGATTAGTCTTCTGATGAATTTTGAAAGATGAAAATCTTTATCAACTAATTTCTAAATAAATATTTAATCTTATTATCTTGTGATTTTTTTTAAACGACCAATCAAAGTTTACTCAAACACGTAATGGATCACCTTTATGCAACACATTCTGTACATTCAACATCTACGTCCATCTAGATCTTCATCTATTGTGTTTAAATCTTATTTCGTGTTAAAGCATCATGTATCGTAAACTTGCGATTGCCACAATTGTGTTTATATTGTTTATTCATCTATTTAACCGGACATCTGCAACGGAAGAGTGTTTCGCCAACATCAATGACTTTAATGACGGCTACTGCCAGTGTGAGGAAAAATCTTCTGAAGTTTCGTGTAGTATTAATAATGTATCGTCTGATCACATATTTTGGGATGCATTTGGAAACATAACTGGCTTCCCGACTTCCATTACCGTAAACGTTATTGACTTTGAAGTTTCATACTTTCCGTCAAGCCTTTTCCTCAATTTACCTCTTACAGTTGAAGAAGTAAAACTTAAGGGTTGGAGCTTTGAATCGATACCAGAGATACCTGTGGCTATAATTAGTCAAAACAAGAGTTCGCTCAGGATACTTGAGATAACCGGGAATGAAAATTTGACTGCAATTTCTTCTTTTGCTTTTTCATTGATTAATTCGCTTCATAGATTGATTCTCTCTTCAAATTCATTGTCCAACCTAACAGCCAATTCATTCAACAATCTCATCAAGCTTCGTGATTTAAGGTTAGACAACAACAAGATTGTCTCGTTGCCGGAGAAAATTTTCAAAAGCTTGAAACACTTGGGTAATCTGACATTGGCTAACAATGAGATTACCTCCATAAGACGTGAAACATTCACTGGACTCAGCTCACTTGTAGAGCTTGATATTAATCGAAACAAGCTGTTGATCATAAAAAATGATACATTCCATGAGATGAGAAAACTTAAAAGTTTGGATCTAACGTACAATTTTATTGACACAATTGAACAAGCAGCTTTTCGAGGACTTGTTGCACTAGAAAGCCTGGACTTGTCAGATAATCAGCTTCGACACTTACCCAATGGCGTATTTGAATATACTGGAAATTTGACGTTAGTTGACTTGAAAGATAATCTATTAACCAAATTGGATTTCGATTTGTACAAGCAACTTCCTAAAACTACTTTTATGAAAGGTAAGTTACAGCTCATTTCAAATTTCAAACCTTCTTTAACTGATAATTTTCCATTCGATCATTTGATTAGTTGATTGGAAAGGAAGAAAAAAGTAATCAAAACAAACCCAAGCAACTGACCAATCTAATTGTTGATTTAATGTTTTTTTTGATACTTCACCATCAAAGCCATCCTTTCATCAGCTTTGTTTGTTCCCACAAATCATGATATTTCATTGTTATTACACTTGAATTGATGAAATTGAATAGAGCATGGATCCGCATTTTTAAACCTGAAATGGTTGATCCTATCCAAAGTGTTGACAGTGAATCAAAAAGTGCCCAATATCAAGTTTAATAGCAAATTTCTTCATGTTATGTTAGACAAGCAAGTGAAAGTTGATAAATTAGGTATAAAATAGTGAAGTTAAACAAATTGTTTATCATTATAATGATCATGATTCATGATTCGTTTACCTTTTCAACTCTCTCAATGTCAATTAAAGGATATTGCCTTTAATCAGTTTCAATTATCAGTTACCCAAATGTAGATAAAGCTATGGTTGAAGGTAAAGATGAAGACATTTTAATCTTTATCTACATTTGGGTAACTGATAACCTTATTATACGCAATACCCTTTACCAAAGTTACCTCTTAACCCAAGTTGAAGCCAACTGAAAGATTAAACATTGACATTTACTCTCACCCTTGATTGGGACATGTTTTTTCAGTGCCCCTCTATCCTGTCTAATGAGACCTTGATTGGTTGACATGTTGATGGCACTTTCACTCAACTTGCTATCAACTTTAATTGACCCTTGGGGTGTAAAGTTAATTGTTGATAGACACAGGATATTAAAATTGTAGGGAAAACTCATGATGATCTGAAATGAAGATTAAACAGCCTCTAGAGTCGCTTGTTTATTTTAGATAGTGAAGACTTGATTTATTGGTTTCTCCATCTTAACCCAAAATTGAAAGTCAACTATTAATTTTGCTAATTTGTAGGCTTGGCTTTGTAGGTTCTAATTGTATTACATTTTTTTCATGATGAACATTTGTTTATTTTACTTTTTACCTGATTGTGATAAAACTCACATTAATTGGAAGCAACTCCACAATTACTGTCAAATCCAGAACGATATTTCATTCAACATTGATAAACCGTTCCCTCTATAACTTGTTACATGCTGTTGAATCATCATCACCAGATGATAGTATTGAAAAATTACTTATGTTAAGAGCTGAGACTGACAAAATGGGTATCCATCACACCCTGGAACAGGCAAACCAAGTCTGAGATTCAATGATAACTTACAGTGTAAAATGGATCAATGAAAGTGTCTGTGGTTTCCATTGAAAGTTCATCTATTTTAACTCAGACTCTTGCCTTTTTTCATCTGCTCTTTTCATCTTTCCTTTTCATCTTGTGTGTCTACTCATCTGTGTGACTGTGTTTTTCCCGTCCAAATGATGCTTGATTGCTTTTACTCAATCAAAATCTAGTTAAATAATTGCAATCAAAGTTAACAACAAAAGAATCAATCTTTTCTCAAAAAAAACAAGAAACAAGTTGGGCTCAAGCCAAGCTTAACTTTCATGCTAGATGACTTGACATGCTGCATCAAATTAAAACTGTTTGTTCGCCTTGTACACACAAACCGAGTAAGCAAAATTAAAATAATTAATGACTAGTTTTGATGACAACTCAAGTTGATAATTTAAGATGACAAGTAAATATGACAATTCAGAATTTTGATTTTTTCAAAATTCCAACTCAATAACAATTTAGATATTTTCAATACTTGAACAGATTAAACAGAAAATGTCGATTTCTAGTTTTTCCCTGATCTAAATTAGTTTCCTTTGATCCTTCCTTTGCTCTCTTCCTTCCTAATTAGGCTTTATTCACCACCCTGTTTTCAATTAATCTGGCAAATTCTGATTCAGGTGAATTGCTTACATCATTTTGATTTACAACAACAGACAAAACAATCTTAACCAAAGAGCAAAAACAATTAAGCAGAGTAATTAATTTCTTCATCTAAATACAATCTAAACGATTGAATCAATAGCAAACAGAAACAATAACAATCATCAATTATGAACACAATATGATACATAAATTGTAATTTGGCTAATTAACTCAACCCAGTCAAACAGTTAATGTTTAGCAGACAATGTTGTTTTTGCCTTGAAACAAAAAATCTCATCATTTTCTGGTTTTGTTTTCACTGAAATTCAATCCAAATGAAATTGCTGTTTGGTTAACCATCAACTTGATCACATTAAATTGTTATCATTGCATTTCAATATTAACAAATAAATGTGTTTACTTAAACATTTGAAACATTTCACTGTTTACATGCTAAAAAAAGTCAAGTTTATCCCCGTAATCTGGTTTATCCTGAAACGATTCACAACTTTTTACTATTTCATTTATCCGTTGCTGGTTCACTCACAACCATGAAATTGATTAATAACCAATCTGTAAACATGATTATGTAAAACTGCAAGATGCAGCTTTTTGAAACATGATTCCTACTTATTTAGATTAATTATTTTATGCCTCTTCTGTTAATCTATTATTAGGTTGATTATTTAGGTGTGTCCAGTCAAGTTGATTGGACTAACAACATGAACTATGATGATGACCATCTCATAAGATGAATAAATCTTCTGTAGAATGGTGTTCCTTTCAGGATTAAATATTAATCTTTATCTAACTTGAAGCTTAAATATTATCCAAAATGATTGTCCAATTCAATCTCATTTAAAACAATAAAAATGGTTTCCATTCAGTGTTAATATAATTTCATGGTTTAACCTCAAGTTGCCGGGGAAAAAATTGATGAAATTATATTCAAACCAATCATCATCTTCCTGTTTTACAATCAAAAACATTAAATAAATTAACTTGCATATTAATAATTTATAATAATTTAATTTGTAAATTAATTTATTTGCAGCATAATAACAGTCATCTATAACTTAATTGAACAATTTAAGGTTAACCGCAGCATTCAAATTACAAGAAGCAAAACAAAATTATAAAATCAACAATTAGCTTCTCAATTAGTTCACTCATTGAATGTTTCAACCCAAAATTGAGACTGAAAATTTTCTTTAACCAAAAGTCTAACCCATTTCATCATGATTACTGTTCTATGTTAATCTTAACATTGGCCACTTGAGTTGACCATTTAGACTGACCTTTCAATTCTTCCATTTAGGTTGACCTAAATCTTGGCTATTTAACAATGGTTATTTTAGGCTCTAGACAGTTAACCAGTTTTATGTATTGTTTGGGTTGCTCGGTGTGTGTCCTAGTTATTAAATGATTGTTTTGTTTCCTTTTTGTATTTTGTTTTTATCTTTCAATCATTATTAATGATTAATGTTGAAAACAATTTTACAATTAACTCTAATCAAATTTGAATCTATTCAGCTTTGAATCTAAACACTCAACAATCAACATTTGCTTGCAATGAAACAAAAGTTATGGTTAACAAAACGATTCAACATTTAAAGCAACTTTGTATTTTTACTAATCAATAGCCATTAATGATTACAATTCATCTAAATGTACAATTCAAAGTCAAGAATAATTTGTGAAAATTAATGATTAATAAAGCAAAAAGTGCAGTTAAATATTCAAATGCCATTCAAACCAGGCAACATGAACATTAATCTTGATCAATTGATGCGACAAACTAGCGTTAATAGAGATTTATGTTGTTTATTGGCTGAATAAAGTGAAATACAAAAAAAGGGTTAAATAAATATTAACTATTCCCATTTTGATGGCTGATAACAGCAATTGCATTTCTTGCCATTTCACTTTAATCAATTGTCGCCGTTTCACGATGACTTACAATGATTAAAGCAAATTAAATTATGGCCGTTAAGTGTACAAATAATCAATGCTTTTTACCTAAAACAAACATTTATTTCAACTGGTAGACTACTTGAGCGTCGAGTAAATGATTGATGAATATTGCAATTGTCTGAGCATTTGATTTGAGACAATTTAGTGAAACCTTTATTTCACATTAAACTGTAACCGTCTCTGATTAGGTTCAAGTGTCTATTGAGTTAGATGAAAACAAATCACAAAAGGCTGTCACTTTTTTTGATGCCTTCAATGGACAACTCACTTCAACTTGAACATTAGTGTCAAAATTTGTTGATTAAAAACACTCAAATCTATTATTGTAAACTGTTGATCATTTAAGCGTTCAATTAAACATGAAATTATTATATCAAGGTTATTTGCTTAATTAAACTAGGCCTTGATTAAGGGTGAAACAACTGAACGTTTTAACGATATCTAAATTGTAATAACCTTTTTGATGATCAAATTGCATTAGATCATTTCCTCTTGAAGTTTTCATAATTTGATATTTACAATTATGAAAGTGAAAAATTATTCAACTTTCTCAAGTTGATTGATGAAAATCTTAATATAAATTGACTTATCCAATAATGATTCACAAATTCTTGAAACATTCAGAAATATCTTTCAATCTTGTTCAACATTTCAACGTGATATAATATCTCATTGAGTCATGCTTTTTCTCATGTTAACATGTTTAGCCAGTTTTCAGATTCACTTAAAGGTTCAACTCAATTATTTCAATAAACATTTGACATGTACTTTGCATTTTTCAATGATTGAATAATATATTTATAGTCATGATCTAGTTACACTTGGCAATATCTGTAATGTTATATTGTGTTAAAATTGTGTTTAAACCATCGTTAAATTACATTGAAGTAGTTGTGTTTCAGTTGATTGTCTTGTATTAGTTTCCAAGTGTAATTAATTTCAACAGTTGAACCCAAAAAAGTTGAATTAACCAGAAAAAAAGATGTAAAGTAATGACACGCAAATACAAACACATTTGATAATTA